GAGGACAGACCATGGATGATGGGACTTCAAGTACCTCCACTCCCTTCCAAAGATTGCTGCAACCCTCTTCTAATGACCAATCAAGACCACACTTGGCACACAGAGCCCCCATGATCCACTCTACATCCTGCTGCAGTTTGAAAGGGGATGGACTTTGGATGATGGGACTTGCAGTACCTTCACTCACTTACTGACACCACTGCCACCCTCATCTAATGACTGATAAAGACCAAACTTGGCACACAGAGCCCCCATGACCCACTCTATATCCTGCTGCTGTTTGTAGGAGGATGGGCCATGGATGATGGGACTTCAAGTACCTTCACTCACTTCCTGAAAAGACCAATAAAGACCAAACTTGCCATACAGAACCACCATTACCCACTTTCTCTAATAACCCGGGCAACGCCGGGTCCCCAAGCTAGTCATTCAATAAAAAGGACTGTATTTTTCCTAAACCAAGGTGTGGTGTATTAATGACAAGAGGGCGCTGTTTCCAGCTCTGGAGTGCAACATCACCCCTCTCCTTTCAGGTAACTTCGGTAAACACAATGAGGGGTCAGATGAAAACGGACCAGAAAACTGCACACCTTTTGGCCCGAATGCACATGCCTGAAGAATTCAGACTTTCTTCTGAATCCTCTCCTGTGACAAGTCTCTATGTTTCCTAGATCTCTAGAGAAGAGTTTGAAGATGCACAGGGAAAGCTAGGGGAAGGTACTGATTCTCATGGAAGCAGAAAAAGTGAGCAGAAATATACTAAAAGATTTTGGCTGAATTCAAAAGGCCTACATTCAGATAACAATCAAGTTACAACCCACTAAATTCTAATCTGATTTATTTTTTTGGTCTCAAGTGCTATGAATTTTTTTTGGATTCCCTCTGATTATTTTTAATTTTTTCTTGAAAATACTTTGAATTATCTACTCAAAAAAGTCATCTCAATGTTTGCTTCTTTCTGGACTTTTGAATACTTCAAATGAACTCATTATTTGCTGTTAATATTCCCCACTGATTTTCAATAATCTTGAGTATCCTTTGAAATGATAATCTATTTATTTTCCCTGGGGAATATCTTTTCTTAGTACATGCGTTAGATGCTTTCAAAATATTTAAAGAAGATGAATATATCATTAGCAAGAGCACAGATCCTTAACTGGTCACACAATGATGAGTATATGTGTGTGTGTTTCTCTGTAAACAAACACATATGCCTAAATCCAAAATTGTGCTTCTGGGTTTGGGGATGATGGCCCATACAGCCTTCCTGGGGGACGATACAGGAGCTGCGCTGGCACAATGGGTTAAACCCTTGTGCTGCTGAACTGCTGATCTGAAGGTTGGTGGCTCGAATCTGCAAGACGGGGGGAGTTCCATATTCAGCTCCAGCTCCTGCCAACTGATCAGTTCAAAAACATACAAATGTGAGTAGATAAATAGGTACCGCTTCGGCGGAAAAGACAAAGAGATGCCAAAAGCAATCTTGCTGGCCACACAACCAGGAGGTGACAATACAGGCTCCTCGGCTTGAAAATGGAGAAAGTATCTCCCCAGAGCCAGAGATGAGCACCATCTCCAGCAGTTGGAAATGAAAAGAGAAGCCCCTGCCTTTGTATGTGTGTCTCATTGTAAATGATTGTAAAGGCACTGAATGTTTGCCTGTGTATGTAAATGCTGTAATCCACTTTGAGTCCACTAGGGGAGAAGGGCGGAATAGAAATAAAGTGTATTATTCCTAATTCTCTTGACAGGAATAGTTCCATTCACACTAGCCCCTTATTCAAGCCTGGCCTCAAAGATACATAATGACAATGTAATATCCATTCTCTCTTTCTACAAACATACACACAAAAGAGAAAAACAATAAAACTCTGCTTCTCCATCTCATTCTCGGGGTAATTTTCCTCCCACAAGATTTTCCAGAAAGAATTGGATCTCTACAAAGTTGCCATGAATGTCCTTAATTCCAGAAAGTTTATATGCACATAGCATAGCGTATATATCATTTTCCTGACATCTGAAACTTCTAAAAGCATGCATCTAATTTAGTTAAATACTGTCTTGGGGAAACCTGCTCATTCTTTCACTGAAAAAGATTAATTTGTTTAGTGTGCATAATAAAGACAGTTAAACAGAGAATGATAACAGGGAGAAAGCAAACTGCAGCATTGCTAATGAAGCTACTGCACTGCATTTCAGTTATATCTTTATAAAATTCAAGCTTCTCTTATTCTGGTTCTATCCCTCAAATTTTTAATTGCTGAGCACAGCAGCAGATCATCACGTGTAATTTTAACAAATGAAGGAAGAAACTGTATGCAAGTAGCAATGCTATGATCATGTTGCAGCACTGTTGTGATAATGTTGTAATCTAGACAATGTCGCAGTGATTATTAATTAAAATACCAAGGACGACATGGTGGTAACTGTTGTATATAGAGGTGCAAACGGCAATAAATTTTTTCAAACGAAGTATATAGATAGGCTTCTAGATCATTTTTTACCTGTGGCGACCCTTTCATAGGAGGGGTTTCTGCAATATTTCTTTAGAAGGGGTTTATCATTGCCTTCTTCTGAGGCTAAGTGTGTGCTTTGCCCAATGTTAACCAATGGATTTGGTCTCCAGTACTTTATTATATGATTTTAGTACTCTAAGCACTTTTCATTAATTTTTATTTGATCTTGCAATGGGCATATTATATAATTTAGTACAATAGACGCCCATGCCCTTCCTCTAAATCAGTGTTTCTTAACCTTCCTAATGCCACGACCCCTTAATATAGTTCCTCATGTTGTGGTGACTCCCAATCATAAAATTATTTTTTGTTGCTACTTCATAACTGTATTTTCATTCACTGGACCAAATTTGGCACAAATACCCGATACGCCCACATATGAATACTGGTGAGGTTGGGCGGGGGGGGGGGGAGTTATTTTGTCATTTGAGAGCTGTAGTTGCTGGGATTTATAGTTCACCTACAATCAAAGAGCATTATGGACTCCACCAACAATGGAATTGAACCAAACTTGGCACACAGAACTCCCATGACCAACAGGAATTACTGGAAGGGTTTGGTGGGCAATGACCTTGAGTTTTGTAGTTCACCTACATCCAGAGAGCACTGTGAAACAATAATGGATTTGTACCAAACTTTGCATGAATACTCAATATGCCCAAATGTGAAAATAGACCTTGACATTTGGGAGTTGTAGTTGATGGAATTTATAGTTCACCTTCAATCAAAGACCATTCTGAACCCCACCAATGATAGAATTGGGCCACATTTTCCACACAGAACCCCCATGACCAACAGAATAAATAAAAATACTGTGTCTTCTGATGCCCTTTGCCGACCCCTCTGACACCCCCCTTGCAACCCCTCGAGGGGCCCCAACCCCCAGGTTGAGAAACACTGTTCTAAAGCTAAGTGAGTGCTTTGCCCAATGTTAACTAAGATTACTAATAATCCAGGCAATGCCGGATACCCAAGCTAGTAATAAATAAACCTTTGGAGTTGCTTCCAGGGAGGTTGGTGTGTAAAGAATGAATATGTGAATGCATGAAGAAGACCAGAAGAAACAGGCCTGAAGAATCAACATGTAGTTTGCATATGGGTAGAACTTGGCAGACAAAGTGAGGAAGCAGTAAGATGTAGTTGAATAACAATGGACAATGAGGTGTGCAGAAAGGTGATACCCCATAAGTCATATGGCCTAGAATGTGGATGTCTTGAAACTATGAGAACTGTAAATGCAGGGTACTCTTGAAATTAAGCACATTTCCTGAACCGTGGCAACGGAATGTCCACACCCTCTTGGAGAAAGCTGATCATCTTTGTCTAGAGAGGCCTGTGTGTGTGTGCGAGTATGAATGCTTGAAATGAATGAATGAGAGCTCTCTCTTGATGTGATTCTGATATGATTTTAAGGTGACTGTATTTCAATAAATATTGCATGAAAAGTCTTAAAACCAAATTTGGTCTTTGAAGTGTCTCATTGATCTAAACTGCCTTGCTATTCCTTGAACACTCTGCATCAAAAGAACAGGAATCTTTTGGGGTTCATAACAGGTGGCTCTGATGTCAACTGGGCAGTGAACCCACTCCAGCTGCAGTCAGAATATAAAAGCAGTTATCCAATGTTCTAAATAAGTGGTTCTCAGCCTGTGTGTCCCCAGATGTTTTGGCCTTCAACTCCCAGAAATCCTAACAGCTGGTAAACTGGCTGGGATTTCTGGGGGTTGAAAGCCAAAATACCTGGGGACCCAAAGGTTGTGAACCACTGTTCTAGATCCTATTCCCAAAATAGCTTTAACATGTTGCCCATTTAGTTCATTCAACCTGCAAAGATCTGTACAGAAGAAAAGGAGAGCAATATAGTTTAGTGGTTTGGGTGCTGTACTATACTATGGCTCTGGAGACCAGGGTTAGAATACCTCCTAAGTCATGGAAACTCACTGGACCACCTTGGATAAGACACATTCTCTCAGCCAAAGAGGAAGGAAAAGGCAATCTCCCTCTGAACAAATCGTGCCAAGAAAACCCCATGAAAAGTTTAACTTAGTTAGGGTTGACACAAGTCAGAAATGAATCGAAAGCACACAACAACAACAGAAAGAAAGGGAGTGGTTGGATGGAAGTCTTTGCAAGAAATGAGGTGGCAGGAAAAAGATCAATTAACTTGCTAAACCTGTGGGTCTCAACCTGTGGGTCTCCAGATGTTTTGGCCTTCAACTCCCAGAAATCCTAAGAGCTGGTAAACTGGCTAGGATTTCTGGGAGTTGTAGGCCAAAACACCTGGGGACCCACAGGTTGAGAACCACTGTACTAAATCAATGTTATATGCAGTTTCATTATAATTTTAGTTGGCTGTAAAGAAAATGATGGATATATCTTATGGGACCTGCTAGTGTGGAAATGGTTGACCCTAAGGGGGTTTTCATAGCAAGAAGATATCATAATTTAATTGTTTTTACATAGTGACAACATTGGGATACTTAACAACTGTGGCAGATGCTGTTGAAAACAGGGACTTGCCCCACGATCCCCAAGTTGTCCATCCACTTCCTTTAGGTGCCAACTCTGTACCCTGTTAAAAAAAAAAGACACTGTATGTCAGTCATTTTGTATTTTTCATGTAAAGCTGTAGACAGCTCTTGAGTATAGTGAATTGTGTTGATTGAAGGTTAGTTGACATTATAATCAGGTCGACAGCAAATTGGAAGAGACCCTGTTATGCCAAACAAGAAGTCGAAAAAGCCCAATGGCCCTGGTTTATGCACTTCATTGTGCAGAAGTGTTGCCCAGAACACTTCCTGCAATCCACTACATACCAACACAGAAAAAAATATTCAGAAACTTTAAAGTTACTACAGAGCCTAAACATTCAGATGCCTTTAAAAAACCTTCATGCACTTGTTCCATTTTTATAACTCCAGTTTTCATGGGTGCTGGATACTTTGGCTTGAAAAGAAGCTGATTTATTAGTTATTTATGTGCATGATTCTCTTCACCCACTGTCAGATGGAGCAAATAAATGGCCTCTTCCTGAAGCCTGTGCTTATATCCCTTTCCCTTTGAAATCAATCAGGCTTCTTTTCAGCTTGCATTCTAACATGAAAAATTAGCTGAATGCAGCCTGATTGAAAATTGATTAAATTCTCCTGACCAGAAAAAAAGCACCAAATGCTGCTATGGTTGTATTATTTATGATAGGCACAAGCAATAATTATATGAAGCTGCCAGTCCTATGCGCCCACCTCTTGGCAAATTCTTACTTTTCATGAGATCTTAGCATCAGTTCTAGACATATTAAAGCTATTATTTTTCACTTTTGGGCCACTCTTGGTCCAAGAAAAGTTCACTTTTGGGCCACTCTAACTTGACACTTTCCAAAAGTCTTGGGCAAATCATTTTATCTCTAGTCCAAGAAAAGTTCAGAACAGCTCAGAAAAGTTACTTTTTGAGACTGCAACTTGAATGGTTTTCCATTCAGCACCTAATTTAATGGGTCTAATCTAGTTGTGACTAGAAACTGGATGTAGATCAATGTATTTCTGGAGATGAAATATGCAGAAATACATCACTTTCATTAAAACTAGTGGCAAATCACATTATCACTTCTTCTGCTGCTGCTGCTGATTCTTCTTCTCTTCTTCCTCCTCCTCCTCCTCTTCTTCTTCTTCTTCTTCCGTAAATTTTGGTGAAAGTAGGGAGCACACACATACAAACAATGCTGAAATACTATTAAAGCAGTGGTTCCCAGCCTGTACTTGCAGACCACCAGTGGTCCACAAGAACTAAAATATGCCCATGGCCTCACCATTACTACACCATTGAAACGAGAGTGACTGACTGGCCTCATGAAACCCTCTTATAGTGCCGAGGCAACAGGGATGTCAGGAGGGGAGAGGCTGACTAACCACAACAGGGGAGACAACAAGCCTCCTGACTGCTGCTTCTCCTCCTCCCCGCTCCTTGAATGGAGCTGTTCCACATGGCGCCTGGAAGCCTTGGTGTCTTCGATTTTAAGCCTGTTCCTGGGGTTATTTGGGTTGCTGATTCAGAAAACTGCATTGGATAGACCACATCAGCTCCAGATTACTAAATATGGTTTTCTGTGTATAAACAGATGGCAACTACTGGATGGCATATGTTCTGTATCAGAAACTAGAGCTGATGTGGTCTATCCAATGCAATTTTCTGAGTCAGCACCCCAAATAATCAAACTCAATCTAAAGCTGATCAAAAACTGATTAATAACTAATGTTGAAGAGAGGTCCCTAGTCAACATGGTCCCTGGTCAAAAAAAGGTTGGGAACTACTGTTTTAACGACTTTTCCTCTCTAGATTTTAGCATGTTATAATCTCAGGACTATGTCATTATACTAATGGTCTTATGTTTTGATCTATATTTTTAAACTGTGTTGTACTCTACCTTGAGCTTTGAAGAGAGGCTGGTAACAAATTAATAACAATTATTATTACTATCACTTAAACAACTTTGAGAACCATGAGGTGGAAAGGCTACACATCTATTCTAGCCAAATCTGAATAAATAAAGAGGTATCTTGTTTTGGGTTGCTGTAAGTTATTCCAACTGTGTGGCCATTTTCCAGAAGCATTCTCTCCTGATGTTTGTCTTGGTGTGTGGTTGCACCCCTGCATTTAGGAAACTAAAATTCTAGATTGTTCATAAATATTTCCATTTTTTTTCTTTGTAAAGATTATTCCTAAAGCAGCACTTGAATGGTATATTATATTGCATTTATTTATTTATACTTTGGGTTTCTCCCAAAATGGCATATAAAATGAAGAAGAGATATGGGTATATAGAGAGATAGATAGATAAAATTACAAAAGTAATGCTAAAAATGCAATTAAATTATGTGTTGAATTAAAAGTCATATTTTTTTAAATGCAAAGGCAAGAAATATTTTTTTAAAATATATCCATAAAGAATCTGTTGGTGACAAAAGGACAACAAAGAGGGAGCCCATTTAACTTCCCAAGGAATGAATCTACAGAGGATGGGAGCAGACACCAAGAAGGCCTTCTCTTGGTTCCACACCAGGTGTAACTATGGAGTACCAGGAGCAAGAGAAGTCCCTCCCCCAAAGATCTCAGATGATGATGATGATAATGATGATACAGAGTGTTTATAAAACACAATGTTTAAAAATCGCTATATTTTTAATTGCCTTTTTAATTGCTATACAACCATGAACTGCCCATGAATGAAATTCTTGCTGCTTTTAAAGATTTTTTTTCTAGCTCAAAATGGTTAGTAAAACAAAATAATTGGATAACTCGATAAACAGTTTGTAACTTTTTGTGTAACTGCAACATGTTGCCATTGGGAAATATATTGCTTTGAATCTGAGTTCATCATTTTGAAATTCAAATCCCGCTTTTATCTCAGTTAAGACGCAAAGACAGCTCACACTTTAAAAAATAGTGAAGTTTTTTTAATCATGTGAGAAGCGACTTGAGAAACTGCAAGTCGCTTCTGGTGTGAGAGAACTGGCTGTCTGCAGAGACATTGCCCAGCGGATGCCTGGATGTGTTACCATCCTGTGGGAGGCTTCTCTCATATCCCTCCATTTAATAATCCATGACATATAAATATTAAAATAGAATTAAACAAAGCAATTAATTAAATTCCTTAAAACATTTAAATGTCAAAATGATTCGTAAACAATCCTATAGCTTCCCCCAGCTCACTCTTCTTTAAAACCCTACCTGAATAAGAAGATTTTAGCCTGCCAACAGGGAAGGATCCATTCAAAGCCGAGGGACAACCACCGAGAAGGCCCTCTCTCACATTGCCACTAACTGTGGTTGAGAGAAAGGCCATCAGAACCTGAGCAGATCCGTACAGGGAGATACTGTATGCCAAATAGGCTTAAGCTCAAGGCTATGGATATGGATGGGCCCATATCGGAGAATATAGCTGTTTATTCAGTTTAGATCTGAGCTGCATAAGGCTTCACAAATCATAACCAGGGCTTGTTCATTGTTGATTACCAAACATTTTTATTCAGAGAAACCAAGGAATTACAATAACCCACACTTAAAAGAATGGAAGAACATTATGCATACACGTTTAGCAGTCCTCCACATTTGCCAGTTTGTCTATTCACAGATTTACTTACTGCCACCTCCACTGATATCATATGTCATTTTAAATAGGGACTTGGATAACATCGGTGTCCATATTGGGTTGTGTTCAGATACTCAGGTTTAATCAGTGGTCAAATCTTTTAGTTGCTGTAAGGAAATCAAATAGGTGGGGCAGTTGGGCCTGGCTGTAAGTGCTTCATGTGGGCTGCTGGTGGTAGTGGTGGTGGGAATGGAATGAGGGAGTGCAAGGAAGGAGGGCAAATGTATGTGTTCCCTTGCACATTTTCTTGCTTGCATGGGCAGCCAGTGGGGAAAAGAAATGGGGTGTGGAAAACACAAGAACTGAGAAAGTTGTGCGTTTCCTCACAGATCACTCATGCAGGCAGAGTGGGGGGCAGGGGTAGGTGGGATGGGCTGAGAGATAAGGGAGCCCATCTAACTGGCGGCTTGCTGGGGCTTACCCTCCATCGTGTTTGCCAGCGGCCTTGCTCCACAACTGTGCAGATCCAGAAAGGCACTTGCAGGCATGGATGCTTTCTGGGTCTGCATGCCACACACGCACTGACCTTGGAGTGAAGGGGGTAATGACAGCACGAAATGGCAGCAGAGCTGGCTAGTTTTCACCCTGAGCGCAATCCCTCTTCACTCCTCTATAACTGTGATGCTGTAAAGCAGTCTTGGAGCCGGTACCCACTCCCTTCCTGCTTTCGTGTTGAGTTTATTTTCATATCGGGAGACACCTTCCTGTTTTGTGCATCCGAATAAATAAATAAATGAAATGAACGTATGAAACGAGAGAAACAAATTTTGTGCACATGACTAATAGCAATGCACATTCCTTTGCTACATTAATATGCATTTTTATTCTATGAACACAAAATATGAGAGGGGGTGGGTGGGAAAGTGAACCTTCAGATAATAATTTTATTTTTCAACTGCCCAGCCAAATTCAGTGAATAGTAACTAAATATTCAGTGAATAGTAACTAGATATTCAGATAAAGCCACCTCTTTTCTGTGTCTGAGAAATATGCAGGACAATTATAACTGGGATACCTTGGATGTCATATATAAGTAACATGAATCATTATCAGAAAAGACTGTTTCTTACCAAGTCACTCTCTTCATTTGGCTCCTCAGATCCAGGTTCTGTTTCAAGGCTCACAGATTCGCTGAATTCAGGAAGAATATTCTCAGCTGCATCTCCACTAGAGAGTTCCTCATGTGAAAGATTCCCTAAAGCTATCAGATTATCTTCCGGTTCATTCTTGCAGTGTTTTGAAACTTCTCTCTCATCATCTTGGGATGACATTAGTTCTGTCTTTTCACTGTGCATCACGGTATCAGAAGCGGAAACATTACCGCCAGGTTCCAATAATTCTTCATTTTTCTCTTGAACTAACCCGTCATTTGTGGCACCCGACATTTTTAATTCTACAGGGGGGGAAAAGAAATTATAAGATTTATAGCAGTCTATTTGAATTAAAAACAAAACAAAATAAAATTATCCTACTTAGTGTGTCTCTTACAATCTTAGTCAATAAGGAATATTTCAAAATTATACAGGCTGTCTTTATAAGACATTATTATTTTTGGCATAATAAAGTGAGATATGCACCGAGTTTGCACACACAAATCCACCACCCACCTTTGACCACTTATAAAAATTAAACCAGGAAATATCTAAATATATTTCTTCTCTTGTCAAAACCAGGAATTTATAGTTACTAAGGGACCATAGTGGTGCAGCAGATTAACAGCTGAGCTGCAGAAGTTGCTGACTGAAAGGTTGGTGGTTCGAATCCGCAGGAGAGGGTGAGCTCCCATTGTTAGCCCCAGCTTCTGCCAACCTTGCAGTTTGAAAACATGCATATATGAGTAGATCAATAGGTACCGCTCCCGCAGGAAGGTAATGGAACTCCATGCAGTCACACTGTCCACATCACCTTGGAGGTATCTACGGACAACGCCAGCTCTTCAGCTTAGAAATGGAGATGAGAACACCCCTCAGAGTCGGACTCGACTAGACTTAATGTCAAGAGGAAACATTTGCTTTTAGAGTTACTAACTCTGGGTCAAGCTATGATGTTAAACCATAGCTTGACCCAGACTGTGGCTAGCTGTTTTACAGTGAATGAAAAATCAGTAATTAGAATTAATTAGAGTTTAACCATAACAAAGGACGAAGTGCAAAGGTTGACTATGTAGGGAAATTATTATCCACTTGTTTGAGCCAGTTCTCACATAAGCATTACTGTACTTACATTAGAAACACAACCATGATCTAATTGAGTGTCCAAACAAGAAGGAAGGGGAAAAAAAAAAAACTATTTTGAGGTGGGAGAAGTAAGTAAGTGGAATGTCAGATCAGATGCAGTCGTACTGAACTGAAAAGAAATGGACGACATCCTACTTCAATATGGACACTGCTCTCAGAACCTTTAATGATATGGCCCTGCTTTCATCATACAAATTAGCTACACATGAATAGTGGTCCATCATTCACAGTCTATATAATAATGATGATAACTGGATTAATCAGTGGAATAAAACATTAACATGGCTTGGGAGGACAGAAATGATGCACATCTAAAGAGATTCTGTATCTCACTTTAGAGTCGCATACAGTCACTAAAACTGTTTTTGAAGCCCTTGCCATATCACATGCCCCTTTTCTGTCCAAAAAAGAGGGTAGAGATTTAAAAAACACCTCTCTTGTAAACCCCCAGGAATAACAATTGAGCTTTTAAATAAGGTATGTTGCAGAAGTCCCTGCACTGTATAATAATAGATTTCTTTAAAGCTCATTCAACTCACCTTTTCAATATACACTTGTCAAAACCAGAAATGGACTCTACTCTGATTATGGTTATTATTATTTTTTGTGGGAAAGGTATTTTTAGTAGTCCATACAGTCTCAGAAGCAACATATTTACTGCCAGACTCTTTGCATTTTCTAATCTGTGCTCTATATATACCAGTGGTTCCCACCCTGTAGTCTGTGGACCACCAGTGGTCCATAAGAACAAAAATATCATCTGTGGCCTCACCATTACTACACCATTGCCTTGAAAACATACAGCAATGAGAGGGACTGGTCTCACGAAACCCTCTTATAGTGCCAAGGCAATGGGGATGTTGGGAGGGGAGAGGGTGACAAAAGATTACTACTACCGCATCAGCTCCAGATGATTAAATATGGTTTTTTGTGGGTGAGCAGATGGTGACTACTGGATTTTTTTTTTCTTATTAGGAGCAACGTGAGAAACTGCAGGTTGCTTCTGGTGTGAGAGAATTTTTTGTCTGCAAGGATGTTGCCCAGGGGATGCCTGGATGTTTTGATGTTTACTATCCTTGTGGGAGGCTTCTCTCATGTCCCCGCATGAGGAGCTGGAGCTGACAGAGGGAGCTCATCCGCGCTCTCTATAGTCCTGCTGGCACAAGGGTTTAACCCATTGTGCCACCAGGGGCTCCCAGATAGCATATGTTCTGCATCAGTAACTAGAATTGATATGGTCTGCCCAATGTAATTTTCTGAATCAGCACCCCAAATAACCAAACAATATCTAAAGTTGACTAAAATGATTCATAACCCTTTTGGAACTAATGTTGGAGAGTGGTCACAGGTCAAAAAAAGGATGGGAACCACTGTATACACTGATCCGAATTTAAACTGAGAAAGTACTACCCTAAAGAACTGTATAGACTGTGGCTTAGCCAGATAGATTATGTTTGAAATGTAAAATGTTGAAGTTCACAATATGCCTGACTTTTGATTACATTGAATTTTTTTTCAAAGTTGTTTACTAGTTTATCAGCATAACCTGTTGTGAGGGCTGCCCAGAAATAAACAAAAGTGACATGAATTATATCTTATCACGAAATGGACTCTGATCCACAGAAATGTATGACATAATAAATGTCATGTGCTATAAGATGTTGTTTTCTGGAACGTCTCACTATGTCATTTCCTAATTGGTGCTATCATAAAAACATGGATTTTTTTTTAATTAAACTGCAAAAACTTTATTTTTGCGGGACATCCTGCAGCACATTTGGCTATAGTTTTTCAATGAATATATCAAAGTCTCAACCAATTCGACAGTCTGTGGCAGCCACAAAAATGAAGTTTCTGGAATAGCGCACAATTAAATAAGAAATAACACTTTCAAACCAGAATTTTCAAATTTTGTTACATAGTGATATTTTAGGTTTATAAAGTATGCAACACTTACAGATAATATAGCCAATCCCCTATAACCCACAGCTCCAAAACTGGTATTTATAGCACTGTATGAATAACTCAATTCATGTTGTGAATGCAGAGATGGGGATGATGTGAAACACAGGATAACAACATAATCAAATCTGTGCCTGGAAGCACCATATTTTAGGAGTGTGTTGCTTGTATTATACTGACATCTGCTGACTAGCTGGTATTGCACCACTTGAAATCCTTCAGGAAGTCACAGCCTCTAATGAATGGATCAAGGCATTGACATCTCTGGCCCATCCTCTGTTTGGATATCAGCCTACATGGCAATGTCTTAAATCAAGAAATAGCTTTCTAAGATCTACAGCAGGCATCGGCAAACTTTGGCCCTCCAAGTGTGTTGAACTTCAACTCCCACAATTCCTAACAGCCTACCTACTGTTAGGAATTGTGGGAGTGGAAGTCCAAAACACCTGGAGGGCCGAAGTTTGTCCATGCCTGATCTACAGAGATACTTGCAGGAACACATCAGCAAGCAAGAATCCAAAAGTGGCAGGTTAAAACCCAGAACCTCAATCAGTTGCTGATACTGGATGAGAATGGATGTGGATACTGGATGATACTGGATGTGTGCCCTCCTGGGCACACAGAAGGTTAGGCGACCTGGAGGGTGCTGAATAGGCTGCGCTCTGGCATCACGAGATGCATAGCCAACCTTAAGAAATGGGTCCACAAAGTGGAGTCTGTGACATGTAAGTGCCGAGAAGAGCAAACCACACACCACTTACTACAATGTGATCTGATCCCTGCCACATGCACATTGGAGGACCTTCTGACATCAACACCAGAGGCACTCCAAGCAGCTTCTGGTCAAAGGAAATTTAGTATAATGCCAAGTTTTTAAACTTTGTGTTTTTTATGCATTATAACTGTATTCTCAATTTGCTTAGAATCATAGAGACCTCATGGGCCATCTGATTCAACCCCTTGCCAAGAAGCGGGAAAATCACATTCAAAGCACCCCCAAAAGATGGCCATCCAGCCTCTGTTAAAAGCCTCCAAAAAAGGAGCCTCCGCCACACTTCGGGGCAGAGAGTTCCACTGCTGAACAGCTCTCACAGTTAGTAGTTCTTCCTAATGTTCAGGTGGAATCTCCTTTCTTGTAGTTGGAAGGCATTTTTCTGCATCCTGGTCTGCAGAGCAGAAGAAAACAAGCTTTCTCCCTCCTCCCTATGACTTCCTCTCACATATTAATACATGGCCATCATCATGTCTTCTCTAAGCCTTCTATTCTGCAGGCTAAACATGCCCATCTCTTTAAGCTGCTCCTCACAGGGCTTGTTCTCCAGACCCTTGATCATTTTATTCACCTCCTCTGGACACATTCCAGCTTCCCTTCAATTGCGGTGCCCAGATTTGGACACAGTGTGATTCCAGGTGTGGTCTAACCAAGGCAGAAAAGAGGGGGAGCATGACTATTTCCCTGGATCTAGACACTAGACTCCTATTGATGTAGGCCAAAATCCCATTGGCTTTTTTAGCTGCCACATGACATTGTTGGATAATGTTTAACTTGTTGTCCATGATGGCAGGATAAATAAATCTGCTGACTGCTAGACTTTCATGCGATGTTCTTCAGACTTAACACACATTATTTTAACGCCTTACTATTTTAACGCATTATTATATTAATGCCTTAGTTACCTCTAGACTGGACTATTGCAATGCACTCTACATGGGACTTTCCTTGAAGATGGCACAGGAACTTCAATTGGTCCAAAGTTTAGCAGCCAGATTAAGAACTGGGGGTGAATTACAGGGAGTGGTCAACCCCGCTGTTTAAGGAGTTCCACTGGCTACCGTTCATTTTCCAGGCCCAATTCAAGGTGCAGATTATTACCTATAAAGCCCTAAACAGTTTGGGACCCGCCTACTTTCGTGACTGCCTCTCCTACCACCAACCTGCACGATCCCTTTGATCCTCTGGGGAGGCCCTCCTTTCACTCTCCCTCTATCACAGGCAACACTTGTGGGAACGAGGAGAAAGCCTTCTCTGCTGTGGCTCCCCGACTTTGGAACTCACTACCTGGTGAGATTGGCCAATTCCCCACCTTAGTAGCCTTCAAGAAAAACTTGAAAACTTGGCTTTTCCGATGTACCTTTGGAGAGTGACCATTTATCCCATTTCTGTTTGCTCCATCTATAGTGTTGCCCCTATGATGCACCCCCCCCCCTCGCCCTAAACCGAGAGCCTACCCCACTGTTTATCCTTTTTGGGCTCCCCTCATTTACATGCTTTCTATTCCTACCTCATTCAGAGTTTTATCATTTTAACTCGTCCATTTGGCCTGCCTATTCTGTTCGATTTTATATTGTATTAATCTGCTTCATTTATTTTATTTTGCTACTTTTTTTTTGGTCATGTCAGGAGCGACTTGAGAAACTGCAAGTCGCTTCTGGTTTGAGAGAATTGGCTGTCTGCAAGGATGTTGCCCAGGGGACGCCCAGATGATTTGATGTTTTTATCATCCTTGTGGGAGGCTTCTCTCATGTCCCCGCATGAGGAGCTGGAGCTAATAATGGGAACTCATCCTCCTCTCCCCAGATTTGAACCTGCGACCTGTCGGTCTTCAGTCCTGCCAGCACAGGGGTTTAACCCACTGCGCCACCGGGGGCTACTATTTTGCTACTGTATGTATTTCATTCTGATGTAATTTTTTGTTGTTGCATTCTGTATTTTATTTTGTGGATTGTATCTTTGGACTTGGCCCTGAGTCCCCTTTGGAGAGAATATTATTATTCTAGTACCAATGCACACCCAAATAAAGTTTGTGTGTGTGTGTGGCTCCATCAAAATCCAGATTATCTACTTTGAACTGGATTATATGGCAGTGTAGACCAGGCATGGGCAAACTTGGGCCCTCTAGGTGTTTTGGACTTCAACTCCCACAATTCCTAACAGCCTACCGGCTGTTAGGAATTGTGGGAGTTGAAGTCCAAAACACCTAGAGGGCCCAAGTTTGCTCATGCCTGGTGTAGACTCATATAATCCAGTTCAGATACAGAAGATACAGGCAGTCCCCGTCTTACAAACGACTCCTAGTTAAGAACAAGGGTGAGACAACAGGAAGGGAGAGAGATCTACCCTCGGGATGGGAGATCCATTCTTGAAAGAGTGATGCTCATGGGGTCTTTCATCACAACAACAATCCAATTGTCGCAGGGAGGGAAAGTAAAGGGGGAAACTTGGGAAGAGGTGCCTTGGCTGTTTGTCACCCCAAAGCCCCATTACCTCTGAAGCAAAGCCTTGAGGTCCCTCTCCCGGGAGAAGAAGAAGAGCCAGAAGGGAGCAGGAGCAGCACCGCCGCGCCCCGCACTTCGCCCCCTTTCCCGCCCTCCTTCCTCCGGCCACGTCGGCAGCCAGGGGCGGCCACAAAGCGAGGGCGGGGACCGGGCCCAGCCTGCCTTCCTTCCCTCCCTCCCTCTCTGTCCCGGGCCCTCCCATCCAGGCACAGGGAGGACCCGCGGAGAGTCCTCATTCAAACTCCAGCCCTCCCTCTGTTTTGGACTTCATCTCCCAGAAGCCTTGCCCAGTTTAGCCAACAGCAGGGAATTCTGGGAGATGGAGTCCAAAACATGTGGTTGGGAAACATTAGGCTGAGTTGGGCTATATGGCCATGGTCTAGAGGCATTCTCTCCTGACGTTTCGCCTGCATCTATGGCAAGCATCCTCAGATGTAGTGAGGTTTATTGGAACTAGGAAAAGGGGTTATATATCTGTGGAATGACCAGGGTGAGACAAAGGACTCTTGTCTGTTGGAGCTAGGTGTGAATGTTTCAACTGACCACCTTGATTAGCATTTGATTGCCTGGCAGTGCCTGGAGCAATCTTTTGTTGAGAGGTGATTAGATGTCCTTGTTTGTTTCCTCTCTGTTGTGCTGTTGTAATTTTAGAGTTTTTTTATACTAGTATTAAAAAACTCTAAAATTACAACAGCACAACAACAGAGAGGAAACAAACAAGGACATCTAATCACCTCTCAACAAAAGTTTGCTCCAGGCACTCTCAGGCCATTATATGCTAATCAAGGTGGTCAGTTGAAACATTCACACCTAGCTCCAGCAGACAAGAGTCCTTTGTCCCACCCTGGGCATTCCACAGGCCAGGAAAAGAGATTTAAAGATGGGCTCAAAGCCAACCTTTAAAACTCTGGCATAGACACTGAGATCTGGGAAGCCCTGGCCCTTGAGCGCTCCAGCTGGAGGTCGGCTGTGACCAGTAGTGCTGTAGAATTTGAAGAGGCACGAATGGAGAGCGAAAGAGAGAAACGTGCCAAGAGGAAGGCGCATCATGCCAACCCTGACCGGGACTGCCTTCCACTTGGAAACCAATGCCCTCACTGTGGAAGATTGGCAGGTCATTGGTCGAATCCGGAGAGAGAGTGGATGAGCTCCCTCTATCAGCTCCAGCTCCTCATGCGGGGACATGAGAGAAGCCTCCCACAAGGATGGTAAAATATCAAAACATCCAGGCGTCCCCTGGCCAACATCCTTGCAGACGGTCAATTCTCTCACACCAGAAGTGACTTGCAGTTTTTCAAGTCGCTCTTAACACAACAACAACAAAAACCTGTGGGAGAAGATGCAGATCAAGAATAGGGCTCCACAGTCACCTATGTACCCACCGCTAGTACACCGATCTTGGAAGACAATCCTACTCGGACAACTAGGGATCACCTAAGTAAGTAAGTAAATAAGTAACAGTTCGGAAAACTCACAGCAACCCAAAGCTATTCTATATATGTTGTCGAAGGTTTTCATGGCTGTGAGTTTTCCAGGCTGGATGGCCATGTTCCAGGAACCATTCTCTCCTGACATTTCGCCCACATCTATGGCAGGCATCCTCAGAGGTTGTGAGGTTTGTTGGAAACTAGGGGAGCTCCCGGTGGCGCAGTGGGTTAAAGCACTGAGCTGCTGAGCTTGTTGATTGAAAGGTCTCAGTTTCGATTCTGGGGAGCGGCGTGAGCTTCCGCTGTCAGCCCTAGCTTCTGCCAACCTAGCAGTTCGAAAACATGCAAATGTGAGTAGATCAATAGGTACCGCTCCGGTGGGAAGGTAACGGCGCTCCATGCAGTCATGCCGGCCACATGACCTTGGAGGTGTCTACGGACATTGCTGGCTCTTCAGCTTAGAAATGGAGATGAGCACCACACCCCAGATTCAGACATGACTGGACTTAATGTCAGGGGACTACCTTTACCTTTATCTAGGCAAGTGAGGTTTATATATCTGTGGAATGTGGAGGGTAAGAGAAAAAAACGGTTGTCTGCTTGAGGCAGGTGTGAATATTTCAATTGGCCACCTTGATTAGCATTTAATGGCTTTGCAGTTTCAAGGTCTGGCTGCTTCCTGCCTGGGGGAATCCTTTGTTGGAAGGTGATTCGCTCAAGAGTCCCTTCTCCCACCCTGGACATTCCACAGAGATATAAACCCCACTTTCCTAGTTTCTAGCAGACCTCACAACCTCTGAGGATGCCTGCCACAGATGCAGATGAAACGTCAGGAGAGAATGCTTCTGGAACATGGCCAGACAGCCCGGAAAACTCACAGCAGCCCAGTGATTCCGGCCATGAAAACCTTCGACAATACAACAGATGCTTTGTTTCCTCTTGCTCAGTTTGGGGAAGGAGGGAAGAGGAAGAAATGATTTCTCGCCATTCTGAACATTTCAGTTCCCATCCCACTTGTTGACTGTGCCGGAAGGGAGGGACCTTTTCTCTCTGGATCCCACCCCTCCAGCCTAGAAACCAAGCAGATCCTGGGATCTACTGCGAGGCAACACAAACGGAGAGGTGCATCCCACGCCGCTTTTTCCCCGTGGGAGCAAACAGGTACAAAAAAGAGCAGGAAAGGAAGCCCCTCGCAGCTTGTGTGCTTTGAATAGACCCCTCTTGATCCGTTTTCACCAGTGGGACATTAAGTTTGAGCAGATGGGGCCATTCATTGCTTTCACTTCCTTTTCCTTGCCCTTTCTGCTTTCTATTTCCCTTTTTGCTTAGCTGAAATGTGGAGCCTGTTATGCACCCTGTATATGGTTTTACAAAACATATTTTTATTGTTATGGCTTTTTTCTTAATTTTATTTAACTGGGATCACCCACAGAACAATGTTTCCTCTGAAGTAAGAACCAACCTGGTGTTGTGCTTTGAAAGCTGGACTTGTATATAATGATGATGATGATGATGATGATGTATTGTTGAAGGGTTTCATGGCCAGAATCACTGGGTTGTTGTAGGTTTTTTTGGGCTATATGGTGTACAGAAGTTGATTGTAAATGATATGATTATAACTGTATTTGTGTTTGCACTGGTTGCCCTAATGCTGGAGCGGCCTAGCTGTGAGGAGTGTGTTACCATGGAAACGATGCTGTAGAGAAGTGGGAGGAGACACCCTCTAGGTGTCTGAGGTGGAAAATTACCAACAGCTGAGAGAACTTTTAAAATTGGAACAATTTTTCCAATTGGTGCCTTCCGATTTTCGCTGGCTGATACAGGATCGAAAACCATCCACTATAGTAGAGGCAGCGGTTATGGTAGATCAAATAATTACCTAAAAGAAGGATTCAAAAGGGAAGATCTGCCAAGTGATAAAAGAACAAACAGGCAGCCATTTTACCAACATCAAACGCGCCCACAGCAAGGAAAAGGTTCTGAAATAGAAAACCCCACCTGGAGGAGGCAGGGTGCAACAAGTCAAACTGCTCCTGAGGGAAAAAGGAGGTGTTTTCAGTGTGGAAAGTGGGACCATATAAAGCAGGGGTAGGGAACCTTTGGCCCTCCAGCTGTGGTGGACTTCAACTCCCACAATTCCTTGAGGCTCGGCATTCGCCCCAAAGGCTTACCTTGGCCCAATGCCGAGCCTCAAGGAATTGTGGGAGTTGAAGTCCACCACAGCTGGAGGGCCAAAGGTTCCCTACCCCTGGTTTAATAAGTGCTTCACCACAGCAAAAGTTATTGATAAGTTGTAACATCAGAAGTCTGTACTGTATCGCAACCAAGTTATATGTAACATTCTCCAAGTATCTTCCAAYTTRARCARCAAACTGCAACCATACGCTTTGTTWCAAAATAAACTTGTTCTCTTTGATTTTAAGACTGCCTCATCTCCATTAATTCTGCGTTCAGTGTGCCCAATCTCCCAAAATTACCTCACATCACAAATTGGTTAAGAATAATAAATAATAAATCGTAACTTCTCTCTCCTGAAACCCTTTTCTTTGAAGTGGGGCAAGCCCCTTCGCATATGGCCATGTTCTAGAGCAGAGGTCCTCAAACTAAGGCCCGGGGGCCGGATGCGGCCCTCCAAGGTCATTTACCCGGCCCTCGCTCAAGGTCAACCTAAGTCTGAAATGACTTGAAAGCAAACAACAACAATCCTATCTCATCAGCCAAAAGCAGGCCCACACTTCCCATTGAAATACTAATAAGTTTATATTTGTTAAAATGACAATTAAAATGTCATTTTAATTATTATATTGTTTTAAAGTGTTTTTTGCACAACAAATAAGTTATGTGCAGTGTGCATAGGAATTCATTCATGTTTTTTTTTTCAAATTATACAGTTTGAGGGACTGTGACCTGGCCCTCTGTTTAAAAAGTTTGAGGACCCCTGTTCTAGAGGCATTCTCTCCTGACATTTCGCCTGCATCTATGGCAAGCATCCTCAGTAACCATCACTACCTCTGAGGATGCTTGCCATAGATGCAGGCAAAACGTCAGGCGAGAATGCCTCTAGAACATGGCCATATAGCCCGCAAAAACCTACAACAACCCAATAATAATAATAATAATAATAATAATAATAATAATAATAATAATAATATATTTATACCCCGTCACCATCTCCACAAGGGGATTCGGAGCGGCTTACATCAATAAAACAAGAAAAACAATAAGCAAAACCAATACAGTTAATATAACTATCTACATTCTAGAACAGGTATGGGAAACCCATCCCAAGGGGCTGGATGCAGCCCATTGGGCTCTTTTCTCAGGTCCTCCTCTCCCTAACCATCATATCCTTCCTTCTCTTTCTTTCCTCCTTCCCTTCCTTCCTTACATCCCAATTTCTCCCTCCCTCCTTCCTTCCTTCCACCCTTTTGTCCTTCCTTTCTTCTTTCCTCCCTCCTTTCCTTCCTTCTTTCCTTCCTTCTTCCCTTTTGTCTTTACTTCTTTCCTCCCTCCCTCCATTCCCTTCCTTCCTTCCTTCCTTCTCCTTTTCCTTCCTCCTGGAGGATTTTTTTTACTTGAGAAACTGCAAGTCGTTTTTTGTGTGAGAGAATTGGCCGTCTGCAAGGACATTGCCCAGGGGATGCCCAGTTGTTTTGATGTTTTACCATCTTTGCGGGAGGCTTCTCTCATGTCCCTGCATGGGGAGCTGGAGCTGACAGAGGGAGCTCACCCATACTCTCCCCGGATTCAAACCTCCAACATGTTGGTCTTCAGTCTTGCCGGCACAAGGGTTTAACCCATTGTGCCACCTGAGGGATGTTTAGCTGGGAGAAGAGAAGGTAGAGAAGGAACATAAATGCCATGTTTCAAGATTTTAAGGGGTATCCCATTGAGGAAGAGGAGGGAAACTGACTTTCTGCTGCTCTAGAGACCAGGGCACAAGAGAGTAATGGTTTCAAATGGCAGGGAAAGAGATTCAGCTGAAAAGATTAGGAAGAACTTCCTGAGAGTAATTGCTGTTGGAGAGTGGCATAGGCTGCCTTGGAGTGTGGTGGAGTCTCCTTCTCTGGGGGCTTTTCTACAGAGGCTGTCTATTGGGAGTGCTTTGATGGTTCCTTACAGCATGGCAGGGGGTTGGACTGGATGGCCCTTGGAGATCTCTTCCACCTCCAGGATTCTATATCAGGAGTCAGCAATATGAAGTGTAATGGATACACTTTTTCCTCTTCTATCCACTGTTTCATCTTGACCAAGGAATCCAAACATTTCCTGTCTTTCCTTCACTTTCTGCCTCCAAAAGAGAAGAGGAAGGGGAGGAAAGGGCAGCAAGGAGACTTGGGGAGGACCCCTTCCCTCCCAGCCCGCCCACCCCATTCAGATCCACCTTGTGCCCCCCAAGTTAGAAGGTTTGCCCATGCCTGCTCTAGAAATCAGTGCAGTGTTGCACCGCTTTAATTGCCATGGCTCAAGGCTGTGGGATGACAGGAATTGTAGTTTGACAAGGTCTTTAGCTTTCTCCCCCAAATAGTGCTGGTGACTTTTAGTTACAATTCCCATTGTAATTATGAGGATATAGGCAGTATATGACCTTGGTTTTGCGAGTTGTAGTTCTCCTGCAACCATAGAAACTGTGACCCTTACCAATGATGGACCTGAATCAAGCCTGGCACATAGAACCCCCATGACCAACAAAATATACTGGAGGGGTCTGAGGAGAACTGACCTTCATTTCTGGGAGTTGTAACCACCAATAAACCAGGACCAAATTTGGCAGACAGAATGCCCATGACCAACTGAACCTACCGTTAGGGTTTGAGGGCACTGACTCACCATGGTGGGAGTTGTAGTTTACCCTCTAGCCAGAGAGCACACTGATCCCCACCGCTGATGCATCTAGAGCAAACTTGCCCAACATGACAAATTAAGTACTGTAGTGATGTAGTTTCAGGGGGTTAACCTGACATGATGTGAGTTGTAGTTCACCTGCAACCTTATGCATTTTGTAAAAAATTTAAAAAATGACTTTTTCAAATAACCTGGGCAATGGGAAATAATGTTCAAGAGTAGTATTATCCCTGTTGGCACAGTGGGTTAAAGAGCTGAGGTGCTAAACTTGCTGACCAAAAGGTCGCAGGTTTAAATCTGGGGAGTGGGTTGAGCTCCCGCTGTTAGCCCCAGCTTCTGCCAACCTAGCAGTTCGAAAACATGCAAATGTGAGTAGATCAATAGGTACTGCTCCGGCAGGAAGGCAACGGCGCATCATGCAGTCATGCCGGCCACATGACCTTGGAGGTGCCTATGGACAATGCCATCACCCCAGAGTCAGACATGACTGGGCTTAATGTCATGGGAAAAACCTTTACCTTTTATTGCACAGGGAGCACTTGATCTAATAATGTGGTCCTTGAAATGGTCAGTTTTACCCAGCTTTCAGACTGTCATTTTTATTAAACAGGCTTCTACTACTGGCTTTGTAACAATCAGGATTAAAGCAAGTGTTTTAATCCAGGTGATAACTCAATTTGGATAAACACTAGCAATGCTACTATTTCCTTTCCTGACATATTCAATGAATGATTGGGAAGAGACACAAAAGTCCTCTCACAATGATTAGAATCTAATTGTAATGGATATAATGTCTTGACATACATTCTGTTGAAATTGTCAGCGCAGTCATGGACTGAAATCAGTAAGAAATTAAAATATTCAACATCTGATAAGTATAAGAAATTATTTTGAATTTCTAAACATTTTGTATTCACATTCTAACGCAAATCCTTTTTACAGGATTGTGGTCAATCTGGGAGTTGATGTTCTCCAACAAGCAAAGCTAGAGAAACCATGTGCAATCGATCAAATGAAAGAATATCAGTCACCAAGCTTTTCCATCAATCTTTTAGCTTGATAATAACCATCTGCACAAATATCCAACCGTCTGTGGAAAACAGTTTGACAACAAATTATTCCAATCGATTTCTAGCTACTGTTTCTAAAAATGTGCCAACTCTGACAACTGTATTGGATTTGTCACACAACAGTATCTCTGAAATTCAGATGTCTGACTTCAGATCTCTTTCCAAGCTGCGGACCCTTATTCTGTCTCATAACCTCATCAGACAGCTTGACTTCAGTATTTTCCAATACAATAAAGACTTGGAACATTTAGATCTGTCCCACAACATTTTGCAAACTGTTTCTTGCTATGCGATCATAAGTCTCAGATATCTAGACCTCTCTTACAATAACTATTCCATCATACCACCATGCTCTGAGTTTGGTACAATGCTGAATCTGAAACATCTTGGTTTCAGTGTGAAAAAAATACAGAAGTCAAGTTTTAGGTCTCTTGCTCATTTACAACTCAATAGTCTGTTCTTGGACTTAGAAGGCCTCTCTCAATATGATGTTGGAGTTCTTCCAATTTTCAACACAAAGAAGCTTCATATTATAAGTCCTTCAAACCGTGATTTCCATGTGCTGTCAGATCTCAGAATCAATGCCACAGAAAGCTTGTATTTGTCCAATATCCGAGAGAAACAAATCAACGACTTGAATACTTTTTTAGTGAATCTTAAGAATGCAACTTTACTAAACCTAACATTGAATAACATGCAGTGCGAATGGACAGACTTGATCTACATTCTGCAGACTGTATGGGAATCCTCCATTGAACATTTTGTTTTCTCTAATGGAGGACAGCTGGAAGTTCCAAACGCAGTACGTTTCAATCACACGAATACATCAATCAAATCTTTGACAATTAAGCAGACTATATTCACAACTATTCATTCTGAACCAACAAGTATGTATAGATTGTTTGCAGATATGAACATTACAGTCTTGACCATTTCTGATGCAGGTTTGATACACATGCTTTGCCCTTTCCGATACAGTCATTTGAAACACTTAAGTTTTTCAAACAATAGCTTAACGGATACTGTTTTTGAAAACTGCAACAACCTTGCCCTTCTTGAAAGCTTCATTCTTCAAAGGAATAAGTTTAAAAATCTTTTCAGAGTGAGTTTAATGACCAGTACCATGAAATCCCTGAAATATTTGGACATGAGTAAGAATTTGCTACAGTACAAATACGATAGGAATAAATGCCACTGGGGAGAAAACCTAGTTATACTCAACCTGGCATCTAATATGTTGTCAGAGTCTGTCTTTCGATGCTTGCCACCCAATATTCAAATCCTTGATCTTCAGAGTAACAACATCTTAACCATTCCCAAAGATACAATGAAACTGAGGTCTTTAGAAGAAATTAATTTGGCATCAAATAAGCTCGCTGATCTGCCTGGATGTCTTCCATTTGAAAGCTTGAGAGTACTAAACGTAGAAATGAACTCAATTGTTTCACCATCTTCTGAGTTCTACCATTCCTGTCAGAGCACCAAAGAGCTAAGAGCCGGACAAAATCCATTCAGATGCTCCTGTGAATTAAGAGAGTTCATTAATCTTGAAGGACAAGGACTTATGAAGCTGGTTGGCTGGCCTGGTTCCTATATGTGCTGGTACCCTGAACATTTAAGGGGAACTAAATTAGAAGATTTCCATGTTTCTGAAATCTTTTGCAACACGACACTTCTGATTACAGTTATTGCCATTGCTACTATTGTTGGAGCTGCCATTATGTTTTTTCTGTGTTTCTATTTTCATATCCCGTGGTATTTGAAGATGATATGGCAATGGACTCGAGTTAAACACAGGAACTGGAAGAATCAGCCTGAGGTTCCTCCTAACAGCTTACAGTTCCATGCCTTTGTTTCCTATAGCGAGCATGACTCTGACTGGGTCAAAACTGTCCTGATTCCAAACCTAGAGAAGGAAGATGGCTCCATCCGCATCTGCCAACATGAAAGGAACTTTGTGGCAGGGAAGAGCATTGTCGAGAACATTATAGACTGCATCGAGAAAAGTTACAAGTCAATCTTTGTCCTGTCTCCTAACTTTGTGCAGAGCGAATGGTGCCATTATGAGCTCTACTTTGCCCATCATAAGTTGTTCAGTGAAGATGTTTATGGCTTAATCCTTGTTTTGTTAGAGCCAATCCCTTCCTATATCATTCCTGCCAGGTATCACAAACTGAAGGCCTTGATGGCCAAGAGAACGTACTTGGAGTGGCCAAAGGAGAAGAGCAAGCATGGACTTTTCTGGGCGAACCTTAGGGCAGCTATTCAGATTAAGCTTCCTAACAATGAGGAAATGAAGGAGTTGTAGATAAGTTAGGTTTTGTTATCTGATTTACTGTGTGAAATAATGTTAATGTGTCTTTTAAAAAAACAATAATAATTGATCAGGTTTGTTGGTCAATTTGCCAAACCTACTGCATTCTTCCCTACGAGCCCAAGCAGTCCTTAAGATCTTCCGGGGATGCTCTTCTCCCGCTTCTGCCCCCGTCTCAGGTGCAGTTGGTGGGGACAAGGGAAGAGCATTCTTGGTGGTGGCCCCTCATCTATGGAACTCCCTCCCCAGGGAGATCAGACAGACTCCCACCTTGTCCTCCTTTCAGAGTCAACTAAAAACCTGGATGTTTCGGTGCGCTTTTGACTAAGCAGCTCATGAGTAACTTTCTTGTGCCTACTTGAAGTTCCGCACTTTACACCGGACCGCATTTTACACTGGCATACGTCCTACTTCAACGTGTGCTTGACAGTATTTCCTGCCCAGTTTCTTTGTATTGTTGCATTTTCCTGTACTCCTGTAAAAATGTATTGCATTCATTGAATTTGTACCTCAGCTATGTTTCTTTCAGCCTTTTGTTTTTATATTGCTTTCAATTGTGTTGTCATTTGTTTTACCTGATGTTTTAATTGGTTAAAGTATTTTACACGCGTGTTTTAATTGTAATCTTGGGCATGTCCCTTGTAAGCCGCCCCCAGTCCCCTAGGGGAGATGGTTGGCGGGGTATAAAAATAAAGTTATTATAATATCATTATTGTGGGAGTCCTGTGCTCTTAATCCCAGTTAAAGTATTATACTCTCTTGATTGTGGAACACCAATGAAGGTTTCTCCAGCAGACTTCAATCATCAGAATATCAAATATAGAGAGGGGGGAGAGGTCTCCTTCAAGCACCAAGGCATTACGTGTTATCATCTTCATATGGATTAAGTGCACTGCATTCTGTGGAGACCTATGCCAAAGAGAAGAAAAGATTTAAGATTCCACTAGATTCTATTTTTAATACAGTGGCAAAGATCTCTTTTATTACACTATGGGCCCATCCATACAGTGCCTTTATTCCAGGAGCTCCCGGTTCAAAATGGAGGGTGGCCAAACAATGCCCCTTGAAAACATGGGAGGAATTGCTACAAAGTGCTAAAAACATGAGATTTTCAGTTGCTGGAATATTCCAGTTCTGGTCAGAAAATACAGATATTCTAATCTCTTTATGTCCCTACATTCAGAAAATACAGGATTTTTTTAATGTTGGTTTGTTCCCGGGTTATACATGTTGGTTCCTGATTCGTTGTATCCTAAAAACATGGCAACAGTTGACTAGAGGGAGAAAACTTTATCCTGGCAAGAGAAACTTTGTCCTTCTCACATTCAATGAAGTTTGTATCGCACAAACAAAGGTTTTGCCATGTAATCAACTTTCCCCATGTTTTTGTGATAAATGCAATGAGGAACAGATACGTATGACCCAGGAATAAAACTTGTACAAATGATGCACATTTAAAGGTTTTTTTTTAAAAAAATGCTGAAATTTCCAGTGGATGTCCTGCGATGGCTATCTTGCGGGCTTTGAAATCCCATAACAAAGCAGCAAGTCTGGACTGTGTGCAGACCTGTTTGTCCCGGGTTTTTCTGCCCCTCCTGGAAAACCCATGATTTGGTGCTGTCTGGAGGCACCCTACGTAACCTGATGTTTGTTCCTGGGCTGTAAATGTCATTTCCTAATTTGTTCTATCATAAAAACATGGGGAAAGTTTATTAAATTGCAAAAACTCTGTTTTTACGTGACAACCTGCAGGACATTTTGCTATAGCTCTTCAATGAATATTGCATAGATCCTCAACCAATTCAACATAATTTGTGGCAGCCATACAAATGAAGTTTCTGGAGTATAACAACTACTTTCAAAGTAAGCATTTCAAATAACACTTTCAAACCAGGAACAGATTTTTTTTTCAAATTTTGCTACATAGTGTTATCACACAAAGACTGAAAGTTACAGGGTCATATTGCAGTTGAGTGTATACTTAGAAAAAGGAGCATATCCACATGAAACTGAACTGGAAGCTCTACCATATATGAATCTAAGAGACATCTTTTTATGAGGAAAGGTTGTGTTTTGATATTCTTTTTTTCCTTTAAACTTTTTTGAGTTGATGCTATGAAAGGATATCACATGTAAATCAAATGCTGGCAACAACAATAAAAACCCTTAAAAAGAAGAAGTGCTGCCAGAGACACTCAAATGATTTCTTGTAACTTGCAGTTTATTTTTAGCTCACAAGAAAGCGGTAAGAACAAGTAAGACGCTATTTAATTTGGTCACAATGAAGTTTTAAAGAAAAAAAAACACTAGCTTTTTATTGATCATCGTCCTTCAGCTACTGGAGTCTTAACAGTAAGTTTTTCAAGCTGACAAATCTCATGACCTAGAAAACCAGATGCTTTGTGTGTTAATTTTAATGCAAACTTTCAGGTTAAATTATTAACAGTAGACACCATTAACATAGACTTTTAAATTTCATGTATTTGCTGTGAAAGATGGCAGTTCTGAAAACATTTTGTCAAGAGTTTATATAGGTTGAGCATCATTTAACTGCTCAAAATCATTTCAAAATCATCCACAATCTGAAATTATCTATATGAGTGATTGCAATGGTAACACCTTTGCTTTCTGATGGTTCACTGTACACAAATTTGTTTCATTTATATATATATATCTATATATATTTTTATATATATATATATATATATATATATATATTCATTTATATATATATATATATTTACGATTCATATACACTTTATACACATAGCCTGAAGGAGATTATATATATATATATATATATATATAAAATCTCCTTCAGGCTATGTGTATAAAGTGTATATGAATCGTAAATGAAATGTCATGTTTAGGCTTAGTTCCCATCTCCATGATGTCTCATTATGAATGTATTGCATATGCAAATATAGATATTTCAAAATCCGGAGAGGTGGGGGGACAGGACAGGACAGGATGGGACACCCAATCTGTTGGAGAATGCGGAGTCTCCTACTGTTACCCATCCGATGCGGTGCTAGACATCTAGAATATTAACAACAGGGACACAAAGGGTTAAGGCAAGGCAATGCTTCGGGGCTAGGGCGGCCCAGCAGGAAGTGCCCGGATGCAGAAGAGAAGCATGGAAATCACAAAGGGAAGGAGGGACGATGCTTCCAATTCTGCTCCTGCCTCTTTCCCCCTTTTCCTCCTTCCCTCCCTTCTCTTCCTCCATGTCTTGCCTTTTTCACTTATTGGGAATGGAGAGAGAGTTGGGGAGAGTTCCTTTAATTGAAGGGGAACTTCTGGAGGAAAAGCAGGACACCGGATAAGACAAAATGTTGGATAAGCAAAGGTCGGATAAGCGAGACTCTACTGTATTACAAAAGGAATCTACTCTGCTGTTTAATACTCAAGTCTACTATGAGCTATTAATGTTGCCATACATTGCATTACATTCTCATTAAAGTGATGGAGTGCATGCCTTGCCTCAAAGGGATCCTTGCCAAAAAGTATTGGCTAGTATTCTGGGCCATCTTATTGACTTCTAAATAGCATCTCCCAGCATGCCCCACCCAGCAATCCTCGGTGGTCAGTAACTCCTGTGAGTGACACACATGAGATGAACAAACAATATTCTGTAGTCATTGAAAAATATATTTCCCAGGCCTTTGATGCCTAGGGTGTCAGAAATAAATCACATCACTGCAAAATGATGGTCATTGTCAAAGCATTCTTAAAGAAGCAAAATTGAAGTCTATACAGTAGATAAAGAAAACAAATCAGATTATGCAAATAAGTTGGGGCCCTTCATGCTGGCCTAAGGAAGCATGAATGCCTCCTTTGTTTTTGCCAGATACTGCCCTCTGTACTTACTTATTCCTTATCAGTGGACTTTCTTCTCTTATTGTTAGTTTTTGGACATCCCAATATCCCCAAACTGCAGTAGGAGGGTTTTCAAAACTGGGTGGGTTTTTTTTTATGGGAGTGAGTGGTTAGGATGTGTTCCTATGCTTTGAAAGGGACTTTTCTGTGAATTTTGGGTTTCATTTGGAATATTTCCATAATGTTGTGGAGCACACAAATGTTGCAACTGATGCCATGACATGCCAAAAAAAAAAAAAAAAACCCCACCAAACACCCAACATGTACCACAGCAAAGTGATGCACATGCTCCACTTGGGACTTTTTGTTCCAATGTATCCTGGATTTTAAATCCAATTGTGGAAGGGGTGGGGAATAAAAAGTTGCAACTGTTGCCAGCAATTTCTGCAAGGGTAAAAAAAAATTAAAGGACCATCCAAAGATAAGGTGGACTATGGCTTTCATATAGTTGGCAGACAAACTGAAAACACAAATTATTCTTGTTTATTTATAAAAGCTGTGCAGAAGGAAACAGGTAAGTCGTTAGCCAAATGTTATTTGGGTTGCTGAGACAAAGAAACGCTAACCGTGAAAGTTAAAACAACTCTTCCGCATAACTGTGGTTTTTGAAGAGGAAATATTCACATGGGAGAAGGCTCTTGAGTGTGGGCTGAAGAAACTTTCCCCCCCCCCCACTCGTTTGGTTTTAACATTCCAGTAAGTATTTCTCATATTCCCTCAAGTAAGCATTTTTCATCCTGCACATGTGAGAAGTGTTGCCTTTCTTTACAACAATGTCTGCATTTTCCTCTGCACCTGCAAACAGAGACAGTGTGCAGAATGGAGCACAAAAGGCAGCTGGAAAGAAAGACCAAATACTGAATTTTCTGGACTAACTTTAGGACAGCAATTCAGAAAATTCTTCCAAACTATGAGGAAGTGAAAGACTTGCACATAAGTTTCAGTTCTGATCTGGGGCACAAAATAGCATTACAATTTTTGAAAACATTATTTACTATTCAAATTAGTCACTCTACATATTACTGACCAAATTAAACTGATCAGAGTGCCAGAACAACTGGAATCAACTATTAAAAGTATTTTACTAATAACAATAACAACAATAATAACATTTATTTATTTACAGTATGTATATTCCACCCTTCTCACTCTGCAGGGGACATATTACATATATAATAATAATAATAATTATTATTATTATTTATTTATTTATTTATTTATTTATTTATTTATATACCGCTCCATCTCGCCAAGGGGACTCAGAGCAGTTCCCAGGTAACATCACAAAATATACAAAGTAAAAAACAACATAACCATAAGATTAACAAAACAAAATATAAGCATAAAAATTGTCACCATAACACAGTGCCATAGACACACAACATATATAGACAGACACAGAGGCAATCTAACATTCCAGCTTTTCTTGAATTCTGGCCACCAGGGAAGCTGTTCCTTCACCGACCATTCGTGACATTGATTAAGTACTTCCTCATTCTTTGCATGCTTGCTGGAGATTTTTATGGCCTCTTAACTTAGTTAAATTTGCCTCCCCGCATAAGCGGTACCTAAATTTCCTACTTGATAGATGCAACTGTCTTTCAGGCTGCAAAGGTCGACAACAAGCTACACAAAATTGGTCGGAAGCTCCCTCCGACCCGGGCTGGCTTCGAACTCATGACCTTTTGGTCAGTGTGATCTTAATGCAGCTGACTCCCATCCAGCTGCGCCACAACCTGGGCACAGCATAGTATTTGAGAACACAGAAATGCTGGACCACTCCAACAACCACCATATCAGACTACACAGAGAAGCCATTGACATCCACAAGCATGTGTACAATTTCAACAAAAAGGAGGAAACCATAAAAATGAACAAAATCTGGCTACTACTACTAAAAAAACTCTCAAATCAGGACAGTAAATAAAGAGTAACACTCAAAAAACGGGAATTCCAGACAAGAAACAATCAGGGCCAGCTAACACCTCCCAACGTGGGGCTGCCTTTGAAGACGGTTTGGAAACTTCAGTTAGTTCAACGGGCAGCAGCCAGATTACTAACTGGGGTGGCATACAGGAGCATATCACCCCCTGTTATGCCAGCTCCACTGGCTGCTGGTCCATCTCCGAGCCCAATTCAAAGTGCTGGTTTTGACCTATAAAGCTCTATATGGTTCGGGCCCAGCTTACTTGTCTGAGCGTATCTCCCCCTATGTCCCACCTCGCAATTTAAGATCATCCGGGGAGGCCCTGCTCTCACTCCTGTCAACAGTGCAAATGCGGCTGGCGGGGACGAGGAGCAGGGCCTTCTCAGCTGTGGCCCCCCACCTCCCAAAGGGGGTAAGATCTGCTCCCTCGCTCCTGACCTTTAGAAAAAAATTAAAATCATGGTTCTGGGGCCAGGCCTTTGGACAATAGATATATGCAGCTTTTAGTGGGTCAAGGACTGGAACGGCGACTCTACTGATGAGATTGTTTTATGGTTTTAATAACTGTTTTGATATTTGATGATGTACTGTTTTTAATATGATTTATGTTTAAAGTGTGGTTTTACTGTTGTAGTTGTAAGGCATTGATTTTTTGCCATTATCTATGAATCCCTCTCGGGGTGAGAAAAGCGGTATATAAATGCTGTAACTAAACAAACAAAGGATTCCCCAAGGCAGGAAGCAGCCAGGCTTTGAAGCTGCAAGGCGATTCAGTGCTAATCAAGATGGGCAACTGCAACTTTCATACTTGTCTCCAACAGACGAGTTCTTTCTCCCACCCTGGACCTTCCACAGATATATAAACCTCACTTGCCTAGTTTCCAACAGGCCTCAGAACCTCTGAGGATGCCTGCCATCAATGTGGGCAAAATGTCAGGAGAGAATGCTTCTGGATCACGACCATACAGCTTGGAAAACTCACAGAAACCCAATGCAGTGTGAATTTGAATCCATTTTATTTATCGTGTCATCAGCAACCATACCATTGTATTACATTTCTAACAGAACAAAACAAACAAACAGATTAAAAAAACCACAGATTTTGCAAACTTGGTTGTTGATTAAATGTCCTTTGACCAGATTCTGGCCACTTGGAGTGCTTCTGGTGTTGCTGCAAGGAGATCCTCCTTGGTGCATGTGGCAGGGCTCAGGGTGCATTGCAGCAGGTGGTCAGTGGTTTGTTTTTCTCTGCACTCGCATGCTGAGGATTCCACCCTGTAGCCCCATTTCTTAAGATTGACTCTGCATCACATGGTGCCAGAGCGCAGTATGTTCAGCGCCTTCCAAGTCGCCCAGTCTTCTGTGTGCCCAGGGGGGAGTCTCTCATTTGGGATCAGCCATTGGTTGAGGTTCTGGGTTTGAGCCTGCCACTTTTGGACTCTCGCTTGCTGAGGTGTTCCAGCGAGCGTCTCTGTAGATCTTAGAAAACTATTTCTTGATTTAAGTCGTTGACGTGCTGGCTGATACCCAAACAAGGGATGAGCTGGAGATGTCTCTGCCTTGGTCCTTTCACTATTGGCTGCTACTTCCCGGCGGATGTCAGGTGGTGCAATACCGGCTAAGCAGTGTAATTTCTCCAGTGGTGTGGGGCGCAGACACCCTGTGACAGGCATGTAGCCGGGGGGGGGGGGGCTTGGAGGGCTTCAGCCCCCCGAAATTCTCATGGTGGTTCGCGAAAAGGCCTTACTGGTGCATTATTTAAACTGTTATGTTTATTCATATCATGATCTGATCATCATAATCAATATATCCCATATGCATGGGGGTATTGGGGTAATGATACAAAAGGTTTGCTAGGCTAGACCCTCTTTCACTCAGACTCAGCCCCCGTCCCCCCCCTGAAACCCCCCCCCTGCTAAGCAGTGTAATTTCTCCAGTGGTGTAGGGCACAGACACCCCGTGATAATGCGGCATGTCTCATTAAGAGCCACATCCACTGTTTTAGCGTGGTGAGATGTGTTCCACACTGGGCATGCGTACTCAGCAGCAGAGTAGCATAACGCAAGGGCAGATGTCTTCACTGTGTCTGGTTGTGATCCCCAGGTTGTGCCAGTCAGCTTTTGTATGATATTGTTTTTAGCACCCACTTTTTGCTTGATGTTCAGGCAGTGCTTCTTGTAGGTCAGAGCACGGTCCAAAGTGACTCCCAGGTATTTGGGTGTGCTGCAAAGAATTTGAATCCATTGAAATTCCCTTATAAAAAGGAGAAATGTTAACACCTGTTTAAAAAGTTGGGGAAGGGAAGGAAGAGAGGGAAAGGAGCCCAGAGGAAAGTGCGTGTGAGTGGACAGAGGCCACACCCGCCTTTGGGAGGGTTTCGAGGGCGGGTTGAAGGAGGGAGTGTTTTCTCTTTCAGAGTCCTTCTCCCCTCCTGCTTCCCTCCCAATTCCGAGAAAGGGAGGCTTCTCTCCCTCGTTGGTGCTTCCTGGCCATCGTCTGACTAAACAGGTGAGGCCACAGGCAGCAAAGAGACAAAGTAGGGCTTCCCTTTCTTTCCCCCTTCCCTTCCTTTCAATGTGGTGCCAGTCTAGCAGGGCTTTGTATTGCTCCCAATGCTGCCAGTGGGTGCTTCTTTTGCTTTGAATATGAAGGCTTCATTTCCCAATGACTGGGTTGTTGCCTATGGAGGCTGGGTTTAATGCCCTGTCTCCTTAGGTAATTGTAGTGGCTCAATGTCCTGCATTCCTGGGAGTTGTATTTTGCCAAGGACTTCAGCCTTCCCTGCCAAAGAGTGTTGAGGCCTCACCAAATCTCAGGATCCCATGGCACTGAACTGAGGTGTCAGACTGCATTAATTCTGCAGTGCAGACACACACCCTTCCTGTGGGAAGACTTTCTCTTTCTCTCCAAGGACTTCTTGGAGAAGGTCTGGAGAACAAGCCCTATGAGGAGCGGCTTAAGGAGCTGGGCATGTTTAGCCTGAAGAAGAGAAGGCTGAGAGTGGATATGATAGCCATGTATAAATATGTGAGAGGAAGCCACAGGGAGGAGGGAGCAAGCTTGTTTTCTGCGTCCTTGGAGACTAGGATGCAGAACAATGGCTTCAAACTACAAGAGAGGAGATTCCATCTGAACATGAGGAAGAACTTCCTGACTGTGAGAGCCGTTCAGCAGTGGAACTCTCTGTGGTGGAGGCTCCTTCTTTGGAAGCTTTTAAACAGAGGCTGGATGGCCATCTGTCAGGGGTGATTTGAATGCAATATTCCTGCTTCTTGGCAGGGGGTTGGACTGGATGGCCCATGAGGCCTCTTCCAACTCTTTGATTCTATGATTCTAGAACTGAAGGCCTTTAAAAAAGCCTGTGTTGTTATAGATTGTACTGGGTTTTTTTATTGTTTGAAGGTTTTTTTTTTTTGGTCTTGTCAGGAGCGACTTGAGAAACTGCAAGTTGCTTCTGGTGTGAGAGAATTGGCCGTCTGCAAGGACTTTGCCCAGGGGACACCTGGATGTTTTGATGTTTTATCATCCTTATGGGAGGCTTCTCTCTTGTCCCGGTATGAGGAGCTGGAGCTGATAGAGGGAACTCATCCGTGCTCTCCCCGGATTCGAACCTGCAACCTGTCGGTCTTCAGTCCTGCCGGCACAGGGGTTTAACGCAATGCGCCACCAGGGGCTCCATATTGTGGAGGTTGTACATTGTTTTCCAATTTTTTTATCATTTACTTTTATTTTAATGCCAACTATTTGAGTGTATTGTACTCTTTTCTGATTGTAAGCCATGCTGAGTCCCAATCTCAGGGTAAAAAGCAGAGCTAATGTAATATTGGGAGCCCCTGGTGGTGCAGTGGGTTAAACCACTGAGTTGCTGAACTTGCTGACCAAAAGATTGGCGGTTCGAATCCGGGGAGCGGGGTTAGGCCCAGCTTCTGCCAACCTAGCAGTTTGAAAACATGCAAATGTGAGTAGATCAACAGGTACCACTTTGGTGGGAAGATAATGGCGCTCCATGCAGTCATGCTGGCCACATGACCTTGGAGGTGTCTATGGACAACGCTGGCTCTTCAGCTTAGAACTGGAGATGAACTCCATCCCCCAGAGTTGGACTCAACTAGACTTAATGTCAAGGGAAAACCTTTACCTACTAACATAATATTAGTAATATTACAGAGTTGCCATGAGTTTTCCGGGCTGTATGGCCTTGTTCCAGAAGCATTCTGTCCTAATATTTCACCTACATCTGTGGCAAGCATCCTCAGAAGTTGGGAGGTCTGAGAAAAGTTTTTTTTCATGTCAGGAGTGATTTGAGAAACTGCAAGTCATTTCTGGTGTGAGAGAATTGGCTGTCTGCAAGGATGTTGCCCAGATGTTTTGATGGTTTGCCATTTTTGCGCTAGGCTTTTATCATGTCCCCGCATGAGGAGCTGGAACTTACAGAGGGAGCTCAATCCACTCTTCCCAGATTCGAACCGTCGACCTGTTGGTCAGCAGTCTTGCTGGCACAAGGGTTTAAACCATTGCGCCACCAGGGGAAACTAGGCAAGGGTGCTTATATATCTCTGAAATGTCCAGGGTGGGAGAAAGAAGGAAGCAGGTAGGAAGCAGCCAGGCTTTGAAGCTGCAAGGCCATTCAATGCTAATTAAGCTGGCCAGTGGCAACATTCATACTTGCCTCAAACAGTCAAGAGTTCTTTCTCCCTCCCTGGACATTCCAAGGATATATAAACCCCACTTGCCTGGTTTCCAACACACCTCACAACCTCTGAGGATGCCTGCCATCGATGAGGGCAAAATGTCAGGGGAGAATGCTCCTGGAACATGGCCATCCAGCCCAGAAAACTCACAGCAACCTAGTGATTCCGGCCATGAAAGTTTTCGACAGTAATATTACTATTAGTAATAATAGTAATATTAAAGGTAATAATAATAACAACACTATGTAACGCCATTTTTGTTCCTGGGTTATAAATGTCATTTCCTAATTGGTTCTATTATGATGTTATGTTATGTTATTTTATGTTTTCAGTAATTGCAGTGGTTCTATTTTAAGTTATGTTAATTTGATCAATCTACTATTTTTTGTATTGTTTCAACTGTTACTTGATGTAAGCCACCCTGAGTCCCTTCTGGGAGAGGGGGCGGGATATCAATAAAACTTATAATCATGATTATCATAAAAATATGGAACTTCTTTTTATTATACTGCAAAAATTTGTTTCTGCAGAACATCCTGTAGCACATTTTGCCATAGTTTTTCAATGAATATCTCAACCAATTCAACATTGTTTGTGGCAGCAACAAAAACAATGTTTCTGGAGTATAACAACTACTTTCAAAGTTGGCACTGCACCATTAAACAGGAAATAACTTTCAAACCATACATATAGATGGGTGGGAATTGTGTGAATTGTGCTATAGTATAACTTCCTTCTGCATTTGACAGTAGACCTTTCTTTCTGTGCAATGTGGAGGGAAATTCCCAGGGATGATGAAATATAACAGGGACAAAAATATCTTTCCTATTTTTTTTAAAAAAACTTATTACACAATGAAGGCAGCTCAATATTTGGCTCATGTCATTCTATTTTTTTGGTTATGTGTCTACTTCACAATCTCATATGCTGCGTTAGTAATTTATGATGAAAGGAATGTAATGGGGGAGGTCAGCCATGAAGCTCCAAACCTCAAACTATCATGCATTTAATAATGATGATGATGATGATGATGATGATGATTTTATTTATATTCCACTACCATCTTCCAAAAGGGACTCAGGTGGCTTACAAAAGCAGGTAGTAGTGCAGCGGAATATATATAACATATAACAATTATCAACAATAACAATAAAAAGAGAGAATCTTCTCACATTAGAAGGCCATGACCTACGTGTAGGATGGCACGCTTACATCTGGTATGGCAGAGAACAGAAGGAAAGAAATTTTGGAAATCACTTTATTCGCTCTTCACTAATCAGAATCCGGGAGAGATATAAAAATTATTTTTATTCAAAAACTCCCCTCTGGATTTCTCCTATGGAAGCCAAACAGAGAAGATTATTGGGTTGGGCTATTTGGCCAACATACAAAGACGTATTAAAAAATGGCTCATTGGAGTTAAAATCCCAAGCAGAAATAAACCAGAGCTTTCCTAAAACCACATGGCTACACTATTTACAAATAAAGGAACAATATAATCAGGACATTAAACAAGGTTTTCAAATCAAAGAGGCATTTTGGGACAAATTTTTAAAAACAGAAACAAAATGCATAACAAAACTATATGAAAAATTATTAGAATGGTCAACAGAGACGGAAACAATAAAAGGATGTATGGTAAAATGGGCAGAAAATTTTAAAAGACCAATAGCATTATGCGATTGGGAAATAATGTGGAAGAAAAACTTAAGTACACCTATGCAATGGACTTAAAGGAGAATTGGATGAAAATGTTCCATAGGTGGTACTTGACTCCAGTAAAACTAAATCTTATGTATAAGAATGTTTCAAAACTTTGCTGGAAATGTAATGAACATGAGGGAACTTTCTTTCACCTTTGGTGGAGTTGTACAGAATCTCAAAAATATTGGAAAAGTATACATGAAGAAATGCAAATAATATTTAACAAAAAATTCCCAAGAAAAGCGGAATATTTTTTATTGGGACTGATAGATTCCGATATAATATTGGATTCAAATGAGGATATTTTGTTTATGTATTTGACAACGGCCGCCAGAATCATTTTTGCCAAACTTTGGAAGCAGAAAGAACTACCAGATACACTCCAATGGATAATAAAAATAAACGAGATAAAGGATATGGATACGTTAACGTTTTTATTAAAAAAGAACACAGGTAACATAATGAAACAGACAAATTGGTCAATAATTGACAATTATATGGAAACAAGATATAAAGAAGATTAATGGGACAGAGGTCATTTGGATATAATAAAAGGGAATTTATATTTTCTATATATATGTAGGTGAAAAGAACGGTTAATGCGCAAAGCAGAATCAGAAGGGAGTCCAATCCCTTTTCCTTTTTTTTTCATTTTTTTTTATTTTTGATTTTTTGGAGTTTTTTTGGACTCTTTTTTTCCTTTTTTTTCGGATTTTTGATTACTGAGTGATTGATTTTTCTCTTCTTTTTTCTTTTTGTTATTATTTTCATGTATTCACGGGTGGTTGGGCTTGGTACTTTCCTACTTTTCTATCTTCTTATATTATTCTCACACTTTCGCTGTAACTATATAAAACTTAATAAAATTTATAAAAAAAATAACAATATCAATAACATAAAACAGATGTACTTAAAACAGTATATAAATCCCCTGCTAATTAAAATCTTCAATAAAATGCAGCAATCACTGCAGATAAAATTGTAATAGCAATTTTCTTCTTGGGTGTGAATTTTGACCTCTGTGATGGTTAAATGGACGAACCCAGAGGGTGCTCACCAATGCTTCGTCTTCATCCTGGAAAGAAGTGACGAGTGGAGTGCCACAGGGTTCTGCCCTGGACCCGGTCCTGTTCAACATCTTTATTAATGACTTAGATGAAGGGCTAGAAGACTTGATCATCAAGTTTGCAGACGACACCAAATTGGGAGGGATAGCCAATACTCCAGAGGACAGGAGCAGGATTCAAAACGATCTTGACAGATTAGAGAGATGGGCCAAAACTAACAAAATGAAGTCCAACAGTGACAAATGCAAGATACTCCACTTAGGCAGAAAAAAAATGAAATGCAAAGATACAGAATGGGGGACAAGGCCTGGCTTGAGAGCAGTACGTGTGAAAAGATCTTGGAGTCCTCGTGGACAAGTTAAACAGCCAACAATGTGATGTGTTGTCAAAAAAAGCCAATGGGATTTTGGCCTGCATCAATAGGATCATAGTGTCTAGGTCCAGGGAAGTAATGCTACCCCTCTATTCTGCTTTGGTTAGACCACACCTGGAATATTGTGTCCAATTCTGGGCACCACAATTCAGGAGAGATATTGACAAGCTGGAATGTGTCCAAAGGAGGGCGACTAAAATGTTCAAGGGTCTGGAGAACAAGCCCTATGAGGTGCGGCTTAAGGAGCTGGGCATGTTTAGCCTGAAGAAGAGAAGGCTGAGAGGAGATATGATAGCCATGTATAAATATGTGAGAGGAAGCCACAGGGAGGAGGGCGCAAGCTTGTTTTCTGCTTCCCTGGAGACTAGGGCATGGAACAATGGCTTCAAACTATAAGAGAGGAGATTCCATCTGAACATGAGGAAGAACTTCCTGACTGTGAGAGCCGTTCAGCAATGGAACTCTCTGCCCTGGAGTGTGGTGGAGGCTCCTTCTTTGGAAGCTTTTAAACAGAGGCTGGATAGCCATCTGTCAGGGGTGATTTCAATGCAATATTCCTGCTTCTTGGCAGGGGGTTGGACTGGATGGCCCATGAGGTCTCTTCCAACTCTTTGATTCTATGATTCTATGATTCCTCTGCAGTACTTTGAAGTCCATGGTTTTCTGAGGATCAACAGACGGTGAAATAGTTGGGACAAGAACTAGTAGGCAGATGACACTAAACTTGTGAACCCAAGTAGGAAACTACATCATCTTACTTGTGTAGCAGCAGTGTTAGTTGAAACAAGTTGTATTTCTTTTTCACTTTTGTCTCTTCCTTTACCTGTCCACCAAAGGTTTTTCAGAGTGATGAGCAGATTTTTTGAAATCAGATCTAGGTAGGGATGCCTGTTATTTTGCAAAGCACTTTGAGGACAACCTCACTTGTATCCCTACTGAACTTGAAACCATGACTTTTGACCTCATCCCATGAGCAAGGGGAAGTGGGGAAAAGTGAAGGGAACCATCTTACTTCATTCCCTACCTTTGAGGTCCATCTTCTGGGATGTCCAGCTGCCCCACTTCCTTTTCCCAACTTTCGCAATTTGGAGTTGGGTAGCATCCGAGTCCTGAAAACACATTCTGGGCTCCATTTCCATGCATTATGGAAATGGAGTCCCACAGAGTGTCCTTATGTCATGCAATGATTTCTGTGGGGGTCCGTTTCTGAAATGCATGGAAAAGAGCCCAGACTGCATGGGATTAGGTCCTAAGGCCATACAATGCAGTTTGAAATGTTGTTATATGTTCAGTGTAAACCCGTATAAAGTAGGTCAATGCAGTTAAATTGCATTATATGGGTATACACTGACCATATGATGCAGTTTCAAACTGCATTATATGACAGTGTAGATCCAGCCAGAGACAGTTCCAATGGACATGTCTAGTCCGGTTTTGGTGGATTAATTGATGTGACCAGGAGAAAGTGATATATAAAGAAACCCCATTGTTTGTCCCGTCTGAACCTCCCACTAGATACACTACCCTACTCATCCATCTCACCTAGGGTTTTAAAAATCCTATCCTTTGCAATTGGCCCAGCCCACTTTGCTCAATTTTTGTTATTTTATGTTATATCCTGTGTTTATTTTGTATTTTTTTGTTATATTTTATTTGATATATTATTGTATGTTTGTACTCTTTTTGCCTTGTTGGGCTTGGCCTCATGTTAGCTGCCCCGAATCTCCTTGGGGAGATGGTGGCAGGGTATAAATAAAGCATTATTATTATTATTATTATTATTATTATTATTATGGATTAGATTCTCAAGGAATATGGAATTAAATGAGGGGAACAGTTCAAAACCTTTTTCTTTGCCAAGTCATTTGAATTCAATTATTGTCTCGGGATTGTATTGCATCTGCTGCTTTTCTTTGCATTTCTTAAATTATGATGGAATGTTTGGGACAGTTTAAGTAATTTAGCTACATTTTCAGAGTCCATTAAAAGCGGAAGGAAGAAGGGCCAGTTTAAAAATGACTGAAATAATTAATGTGGGCGTCACCACCACACAGCTTGCAATATGAAAAAAAATCCCCTAGAAAGAGGAAGTATAGAGCACCCAGTGATTTCTTGTAACAAGAACATTATTTTTAGTTCATAAGAAAGGAGTGAGACAAATTCTGTAACCATGTTAATTTGGTCAATAAGTTTGCATTTTTTTTAAAAAAATACAGTTATTTTATTGTTTTTTTTAAAAAAAATCAGTCTTTTCTGTAAACTATGGTTATCAAGCAAATGAATTTTATGGATTAGAAAGCCAGGGACCTTTTTTTTTTGCCCTCACTTTAGGGCAATGCTTTAAGAATGGACATTATTTTCTTCCATTTCTTTGGAAGCCTTAAGGTGGGTGTTTTTTTTTTTCATGTCAGGAAAAAAAGAGAAGCTGCAAGTCGCTTCTGGTGTGAAATTGGCCGTCTACAAGGACATTGTCCAGTGGATGCCTGGATGTTTTACCATCCTGTGGGAGTCTTTTCTCATGTCCTCATATGAGAAGCTGGAGCTTACTCCTCTCCCTGGATGCGAACTGCCAACCTTTTGGTCAGCAGTTCAGGTGACACAAGGGTTTCACCCATTGATGGGTGTTAGAATTACTGAACTGCATGCTGATTTACTGTGATAGAAGAAGGTTTTGAACAATTTTGTTAAGTGTCACTTATGCTTATAGATGTTTAGAACTTTTCTCTTTGGAGTGCATTGATCCCAGGGACTCTTTTAATGGGCAGTGAGGTAGTCGAAATACGTATTTCATAAGGAGTTGGAGGGTTTCTGGGCATGATGAGGGAGTTTGTGGATCCATACTGAAAAGAAGTTCAGAGCTAGTTCCACTGAAAGGTTTTGTAAAAGATGCGTTAAGTGAATATTTTAATAGATATGTGATTCTTTTAAGCAACTGCTGTTGACATTCATTTAATAAAAGAAGAGACATTTTGTAAGGTTTACATTGGTATTAGAATGATTGATATGATCAATATTTTATGCACAATAATGGAAGAGTGCAATACCAACAATGATTGACCATTGCAACTGAATAATTTAGCCAAAATGGACAAAATATCTGCTTTGATTAGAGAGAAGTCATAGCTAACATTTTGAAAGACTGGGAATCTTTAATTGTCGTTTTGCAGAGGAATAATATAATAGCTGTGGGTTTTGATCATTAGTAGGTTTGGTTTAGTAGAAGTATATGAATAATGTTTTATATATTGCATAATATTTCATATATTAAGACGTATAAGCATTGTAGAGAAAGATGGAAATTACACCTATTCTGTCCTGGAATGCTGTGTCTAATTCTGGGCACCACGATTCAAGACAGATGTTGACAAGCTGGAATGTGTCCAGAGGAGGGCAACTAAAATGATCAAGGGTCTGGAGAACAAACCCTATGAGGAGCAACTTAAAGACCTGGACATGTTTAGCCTGCAGAAGAAAAGGCTAAGAGGAGACATGAAAGTGAAAGTTATTAACTGTCCATGTATGAATATGTGAGGGGTAGTCATAGGGAGGAGGGAGCAAGTTTGTTTTCTGTTGTCCTGGAAAGTAGGACACAGAAGAATGGCTTCAAACTACAGGAAAGGATTCCACCAGAACATGAGGAAGAACTTCCTAACTGTGAGAGCTATTCAGCAGTGGAACTCTCTGTCCCGGAGTATGATGGAGGCTCCTTCTTTGGAGGCTTTTAAATAGAGGCTGGATGGCCATCTGTTGGGGGTGCTTTGAATGTGATTTTCCTGCTTCTTGGCAGGGGGCTAGAATGGATGACCCTTGAGGTTTCTTCCAACTCTGTAAATTTTCTTCTTTTACTGTATTTTTCCATGCCTATTTTCTTTTCTTTCTTTAGTATAAATATATTCAAAAATTAAATTTAAAAATCCTTGGTAAATTAATTTTAAATAATATTAATATGCTATTTTGAATTGTTTTTCAGGATCCTGTGACCAATACTGAAAAACAAGCTTTCCAAAGGGATTTGAAAGAACCATCGTACTCTATGGCCAAAAGAAAATACTCCAGCACCAGCAGCTTTGTCTCTATTTGTATATTTGCAGTATCTTGTAATATCATCTCTGCCTCTACGGAAGATGGATTCATAGCAAACTATTCTAGGACAACCCGATACACAGTTCCAAAGAACATACCATCAAGAACAACAGTATTGGATTTATCCCACAACCAAATTAAAGAAATTCGGGTTTTTGATTTCAGTTCCCTTCCCAAACTGCAAGTGTTAATGCTGTTTGACAACCAGATCAGAGTGCTTAACTTCAGTGTCTTCCAATACAATGAAGACCTACAGTATCTAGATTTATCCCATAACAACTTGCAGGCTCTTTTTGGTTTTCCTGTGCCAAGTCTCAGGCATTTAGATGTCTCTTATAATAATGACATAAAGATGACCTTTTGCTCTGACTCAAGCACGACACGGAAGCTGGAGTATTTTGGCCTGAGTACTAGGAGAATGCAGAAACCAGATTTCTGTGTTCTGGCTCATTTGCAAGTAGAAACTCTATTCCTGGGCTTAGAAGATCTCTCGGAATATAACTCTACTTTCCTTCCAGCATTCAATATGAAAAACCTTCGGATTGCGCTCCCCAACATAAGGAGGTTCCCCATTCTGTCGAATCTAGACCTCAATGTTACAGAAAGTTTAGAGCTTTCAAATATTCAAGGTTACCAAATCAAGGACTTGGGAACGTTTCTATCGAAACTCAACAAAAACGGAAGACTGCTGAATTTAACAATGACTAATATAGAACTTGGCTGGAGAGATATCGTGAATGTTTTCACGGTTGTGTGGAAATCTACCATTAGATATTTCCATATCTATAATGTGACCGTTTTAGAATTTGACGATGCAGTTTTCAGTAACATTGATACCTCTCTACAGGCTTTGACCATTGAACAGACCAGACTTGGTACCGTGAGCATTGATCAAAACATTGTTTATAAAACTTTTTCAGACATGAACATTCCAGCTCTGACAATCTCTGATTCTGGTATATTATTCATGCATTGCCCTTCAAAACCCAGTCGCTTCACGTACTTATGTTTTTCAAACAACACACTGACTGACATACTTTTCCAAAATTGCAACAACCTCCCTCTCCTAGAAACACTCATTTTGCAGAGGAATTACCTTAAAGATCTTACAAAAGTGAGCTTAATGACAAATACCATGAAGTCTCTGAAATATTTGGATGTGAGTCACAATTTCTTGCAATATGATGGCGAGAATAAGTGCCACTGGGCTGACAATATGGTTGAATTGAATTTGTCATCTAACATACTGTCTGAATTAGTCTTTAGATGTTTGCCAGTCAACGTTAAAATTTTGGATCTGCACGAGAACCATATTTCAAGGGTTCCCAAAGAGATGCTGAAGCTGAACAATTTAGAAGAGCTGAATTTGGCTTTTAATAAGTTAACTGCGTTGCCTGGATGTGATCATTTCAGAAGTCTCAGATTGCTGAACATAGAAAATAATTCTGTTCTTTCTCAATCTTCTGAATTCTTTGAAAGCTGCCAATACGTCCAAAGATTAAAAGGAGGAAACAATCCGTTCAAGTGCTCCTGTGAATTAAGAGAGTTCATTAATCTTGGGAAACAGGGGTCAGTGGAGTTGGTTGGATGGCCTGATTCTTACATGTGTGAAAAACCTGAATATGTAAGGGGAACACCTTTAGCAAATTTTCACATTTCAAAACTTTCTTGTAATGTGACTCTCCTTGTTGCTGTAATTCTGATTATTACAGTGGTCTTAGGAGTAGCTGTTTGCATCATCTGCCTCCGTTTTGATATCCCATGGTATTTGAAGATGATATGGCAGTGGACCCAAGTTAAACGTAGGAACTGGAAGAGTCAGCAGCTGAACACTATACAGTTCCATGCCTTTGTCTCCTATAGCGAGCATGACTCTGACTGGGTCAAAACTGTCCTGATTCCAAATCTGGAGAAGGAAGATGGCTCCATCCGGATCTGCCAACATGAAAGGAACTTTGTGGCAGGGAAGAGCATTGTCGAGAACATCATAGACTGCATCGAGAAAAGTTACAAGTCAATCTTTGTACTGTCTCCCAACTTTGTGCAGAGCGAATGGTGCCATTATGAGCTCTACTTTGCCCATCATAAGTTGTTCAGTGAAGATGTTTATGGCTTAATCCTTGTTTTGTTAGAGCCAATCCCTACCTATATCATTCCTGCCAGGTATCACAAACTGAAGGCCTTGATGGCCAAGAGAACGTACTTGGAGTGGCCAAAGGAGAAGAGCAAGCATGGACTTTTCTGGGCTAACCTTAGGGCAGCCATTCAGATTGTGCTTCCTAACAATGAAGAAACGGAGGAATTCTAGATTTTTTAAAAATCAGTTTGTATATTCACACAGTCAGAGAAAGTGTTCATTTTATGAGTAAAGTGTAAAGTTCAAGGATCACAATTTTCTAAAACAAGCATTTTGAAAATGTGCAAAGGTTTCTAAATGAAATGAACACAATTATTGTGTCATTGTTGTTTGCCTTCAGGTTGTTTCTGGTGTGTGGCAACCTAAGATTTTTCCTAGTTCCAACAGACCTCACTACCTCTGAGGATGCTTGCCACAGATGCAGGCGAAACGTCAGGAGAAATGCCTCTAGAACATGGCCATATAGCCCAAAAAAACCTACAACAACCCAGTGATTCTGGCCATGAAAGCCTTTGACAATACATTGAACCTAAGATTAACCTATCATGGTGTTTTCTTGGCAGGATTTGTTCTTGTTAGGTTGACCATCCTCTGAGGCTGAGAGAGTATGACTTGCCAAAGTCTCCCAGTTTATCTCCATGGCCAAATGTGGATTTGAACCCTGGTTTTGAGCTAATCCAACTCAGACCACTGCACCATGGTGTAATATTTATGAAGCAATGCTGCAATGTAGCATCTCTAGAAAAAGACCAAGTATAGTTCAAAACCACTCATGACCCATGAAGCATGATGGGATCATTGTTAAGAAAGTAAGACTCTGCTGTTCACACATAACAATGCCACTATGAGTTGCTGATGAAAAGCTCTTCCGTCTTGCATAATTTTCTTGAACGTGCGGGTACAAATGTTTGACTGTAGTATCAATCCTCCATTACCACTGGATATGCTGATGGAGGTTGCAGTGAACTTCCTATCGCGAGTCTCCAAAAACAAAATGGTCCTCATGCTAATACCTGACACAGAAAGTTGTATTTTTTTTCTGTATCAAATCTGTACTTGCTTTTGGCTGAAATAACTAAATATGCCTTCTCTTTCCAGCTGAAGTCATTATCATGCTGGGAGGTTTTGAGCTGCAACACTAGTGGCTTCAGTTTGATTTAGCAATTGGTAGGGTGCACCGATACTGGATGGCCATCTGTCAGGGGTGCTTTGAATGCGATTTTCCTGCTTCTTAGTAGGGGGTTGGACTGGATGGCCCATGAGGTCTCTTCCAACTCTATAATTCTACTATACTATAGAATTAATGAAGTTCAATTAATGAAGCTCAATGCTATGATATAACGGGAATTGTAGTTTTGCAGGATCTTTAACCTCACCAAACTACAAATCCCAGGAGTCTATAGCTTTAAACCATGGCATTTGAAGTGATGTCAAACTGCATCAATTAAAACCTGGTTTTGGAGCTGCACAGATTAAACTACATTCTTCTGCTACCACCTGCTGGCTAGCATTTATATTACAATGTCTCAAATTTGCTTGGTTGTACCTAGTTGTTTGCAAACTTCTACACCAGATTGTTAGAAAATGCTTGCAAATTTCTACAAGACATCTGTGAACAAATTGGTAGTCTTGAATTAGCCGCATGGTTAGAGGCCAAAGACTTCCATTTCTAAACCTAGATCACAGAATGATGTCACATGTTTTGCACTAAAGAAGTATTTATGCCATTTTGACTCTGTTGCTGTTATTGTTAAGATGCACTGTTACCTTGAATAAATACTTTTGTTTGGGAATATTTTAAGTCCACTAGTATATATGTGTCTATATGTGTGGGACATCTACCCAAACATGGGCGTGAGGACTGCAGTGTTTTCCTGACTAAGGATACAAGCCAAAACAGAGTATGAAAGGAGGATAGCACTCAGGATATTGACACTAAATCCTGCCCTGGGTGCTGGCCCATTACTAGGGATGTGCTATCTTTTTTTTTTTAAATGCTTCAAAAGTCATTAGAAAAATTGGAGCTGCTGGCATTTCATTTCTGAAGTGTTTCTAAAGTATAGTTTGTGAAAAATTCATTACTATATGAGTAACAAAATTTCGTTACTATTTCGTTACAGTAATTACATAAATTACTATAATTAATAATTAAATTACCATAATTGGGGAGACTTCTGGGGCTCCTATCGCCCTCATTTTTAAAGCTATTGAGGTAAAACTTGCTACAATGGTAGAACACATTTACCACTGTTAGCCCACCAAATTTCAGAATGTTTCACTTATACACTTATACACAGATTTGGGGGATTTTCAAAGTTTTTATAAATAACATTTTAAAAAACCTACAAGAGCTATCTACTTGAATGTTATATACAATGTACAAGATAACCAGGGCATCAATCCCAAGTAGTTTCAGAAAGATTCGCACATCTACAGATTTTTGGGGATTTTAAAAAGTTTAGACAAAAACAATTTATTCCTCCCACCTCCAAAATGACAACAGCAATCCCCTTGAATGTCTGTCTTTATGACACATAACCACATAACTTCAACTTAGCAGATTTATACTATTACTTACGTCCTCTGCAGGTAATGTTATTTGTTATTATACTGACTCTAAACAGTGACATTGGGGCTTTCTGATGCTGAGCGCTGCATTCTGGAAAATGTAGTTTAGGGCAGAGTCTTTTGCATTCTCTGCCACAAGGGCCCTCATCTTCCCAAACTACATGTCTAAGAATGCTGTGTTCTCAGTCTCCTACCCGCTTGCTCGTCCTGTTTCCATTGCCTTCCTTAGGCAACCGGGCCAACAAAACACAGGATTGGTTTTTAAAAACACATTATGTCCTCTTGGCTTTACCAAAGTTGCTTAATGCTTATACTGAAAATTAAACTCACCTTGGGAGGCATCCAAATATTACAGAATCTTACCGAAAATGATTGGTGTTTTGATTCTTAAATTCTCTCTCCCCCCACCCCCATCTTTTCTGCATGTTTCTAATATCGATTCATATGCACAAAATGAATTTGATACAAAATATGAAGAGTAATGATAATTTTGCATATCCCTATCTGTTACATGTGCTAGGAGCTTTCCTGGGCAAGGAATAATTTTCCTGTTCCTTTTAGCACTCAAGATTCATTGATCTCCCATCAAAGTACTAATTTAGCAAGTGATGTGTTCAAGAAGACACCTTTTATGTATAATGTAGCAGGACAAAAGGGATCTGGTGATTTGATGATCTGTTGACATATTTGACATTGTTCCCAAGCAAGTGGACTACAGATTCCTTTATGCTACTTTCAGCTGTCCTAAAAACGATTGTGTTAACAACTGAAAGCAACTATAAACCCACGACAGTCTTCAATGGTTTTTTTTTTACAAATGTTTGGAGTTCTGAGGGATAGTTTTAACTACATATTTACATTTAGTATCTGTTTTGTTTTATTAACAATACATATAGCATGGTATATATAACATATGAGGACTGTACAGTACAAATTTATGTTCACAGTTTGACATGACAAAATGTCATTACTGAATTCCCATTGGACTACCAAAAGTAGAAATAGTGAAGGTACATAAAAACATTCACATCTTTAGTGAGAAAGATTACCAAAATGTTTCAGTATCGGCAAATGATAGGAATGCATGCTAGAAACCATTAATTACCCAATTATTATTAGCTTATAAAATATATTACATTTTATTTTTTAAATTCTGCATAGTTTTATACAAGTATTAAAGTAAATGTAATATTCCTGCTACATTTGCAGGTGAAGACGTAGGGAAATGCTAAGCAGGAAGATTACTTTGACTGTATAACATTTAAAATATATAAATAGCAAGAAAGTGCTAATATTTATAAAACACAATGGGAATTATAGCCTTTTTCAAAAAAAACGTGTAAAATACTTGGTTTTTTTCCTGTTTTGCTTTTGCAATTCTGTTTAAGAGGAAATGATTTGCAGTCAAGTACACCTTGCTAAGCCTGGAAACTAAATAGGAATAAGATTCTGCATTGTTCTCTCTCTCTGTTTAACAGATTGTGCATAATTAAAACCACATTACAAACATGTCAGCTTCACTCTGCATGGAAAAAGAGTAGTCCATCAGGGAATGCTCTTCAGCACAACATCCTCCACAAAGCGGTATCCTAAAGGTGGCATCATATGCAGCGCAACACTGTATGTGTGCATGGATTGGTTAAAAGCATAACTATTCTTAGGGGATGGGCTGCATGCAAAGAGCCTTTCTCACTTGGCAAGAGGCACATTCCACTTCCAACAGTAGCATTGAAGTGGTAGCAGCAACTATGTAGCAGATATATTGTCCTGAAAGTCCTATTAGAGTGGAAGCACTGGCTTCCCAAGCGTTCAGTATGACAAGTATTGCCATGCGGTTGCTTTCCCTTTCCTAGAACATTCAAGGCATGTGCTAAAATCTGGGCTAGATTTCAGGAAGGAGACAATTTCCTGGTTAAGCTACCTATTGCACTCAAATGATTCTGTTTTAAGGATTGTGACTAAAATGGCAGCGGAGTCACTTTCCAACTTCCTGAAATGCTGTTACATGCTGTGAATCTCACTACAGTAGAGTCTCGTTTATCCAACCTTCGCTCACCCAACGTTCTGTATTATCCAAATTCGTAAATACAGTAATTACTACCTAATGTTATTGTGTATTAAACTGCTTTTACTGTTGATTTGTTGTAAAATATGATGTTTTGGTGCTTAATTTGTAAAATCATAACATAATTTGACATTTAATAGGCTTTTCTTTGATCCTTATTATCCAACATTCCGCTTATCTAATGTTTTGCCAGCCCGTTTATGTTGGGTAAGTGAGACTCTACTGTATTATCATATTAAGTAGTCCTCCTACTGGGCATTTTTACTCTTCTCGAGGCATGGACTGTTATCTTTCCTTATTTAATTCAACAGAAGGGAATTTAGGAATTCTCAATCTTACTTTCATGTAGATACAGAGTTGAATCTAAAGGTTCCTCCCCTAACTTAGCAAACATCTTCCATCTGAAGGATAACCTCATAGTCTCTGGCCAAGACTCAAAATACATTCCTGCTACCACCATAGATTCAACGATTTTGTACCTGTTCTTCCCAAATAGCAACCCTTTCACACCCCAAATACATGTTAAAGCTTTTCTGAAGCTGACGGGTGTAAAAGAAATGGTCTGGGTTGCAATGGGTTGCAATGGGTTGCAATGCTTGCAATGGGTTGCAATGGTTGCAATGGGTTGCAATGGATCAGTCACTCCCGGTTTATTAAACTAATGCTAGACAACAGGATATTCCCAGGAGAAGTTAAAAAAATCTCACCACCTCTACAGCATCTTCAACAAATTTAAGCAATTCTTCAAATTCTAGCCATAACTGCTCTTCCATATATGTACTTATGATGCATAATCGTATCTTAAAACATAATTGCTCTAAAACAGGACAGCAACATCTATGCATATACATGAAAATAATGTAATTGTGTTTGCTTTAGGAGAATAAGATGGAATACAAATTGGTGTGGGATTAATAACACAATTTCTTTCTTGGGTTTTAAAACAACAGATGAAACAATACTAGCAACTTGGAATTTGAAGGCAACATTGTCTTCTGGCACTTTTCGGCATACATTCTATGTTAAACTGTTGAACTATTTATCCCCAGATAAACGTTGAGGGGAAGAATTAAACACTGTTCAGAAACATTTTTATGAAAGAAAACTAGCAGCATCACCAATGTTTTAAACACGTATCTGAATTTTTACAAAATCTGAGGCACTCATAAAGTGGTAGCTCTCACTCTCATTGTAATAGAAATTAATGACATCATAAGCCTAATGAGGCTAGATGTATGCCATATAACCTCTTAGATATAGTAAGTATAGAGGATTGGCAGGTTCTATTTCATGGGGCCTTGTCCTCTCTCTGTTGGTTTTTTTTCTTTCTTTCATGTGTTTTTGGTTCAAAAAGTATTTCCCATTTAATTTTAGAGGGATTCAAAGCACTCGGGTTAATGTCCTGGCATGGTTCCCTCTACTTCCCAGTCCTAAGCTGCTGACACATAGAAAGCTCTTTTTAAGTTTCTCAATTCAGATTTTTCCATGTTAGCAACACAGTGCAAGACTATCAACACAACATAAAATAATGTATTTTCCAGATCTTACTTGGCCATGCTAGAGAAAGTAAAACAGATTTTTTGCTCTTTTTACTGTGTGATAGAAGATGTTGCAGTCATTTCTTGTTTAAACTGGCATTAGAAAGGCAAGACATGCCATAATTCTGATAAAGATTTTTTTAGGATTGATGGCTGATCTTTAAAATTCCCAATTCTTTCAAGATTTGATTATGAAATGGCCACATACATACTCATATTACTGACTAGACCGAGTTATGCCATGGCTCCTTTGTTTTGTCTATTTAATTTCTAGAGCACAGAAAACCCAAAACACCTAAATGTTTAACAAAGTAAAGATGTGATTAAGTTTGAGTTTAAATATAATTGAAAAAAGGACTATTTTGCTAATTTCCTACGAAAATTACTAGGAAAGTGCCTCACCTTCATTCTTCCCCTGGTACCAAGATGTAAAACAGAGTTTCTCAAACTGTGTTCCTCCAGATGTTTTTGGACTTCACCTCCCACAATTCCCAACATCTGGTAAGATTTCTGGGAGTTGAAGTTCAGAACATCTGGAGGAGCAGTTTGAGAAACCCAGATGAATCTTATACAGAATATTGCATATTTGCATTGTCAAACCATGCATTTAACAGATCCAACAGCCTGCTCCAAAGGGACAATTTATTCACTCCAAACTTTTGACATCAACTGTGCATTCTTTTCCTTCAGGAGAGCTAAATTTGAACACTTTCTTGGAAGGAAGGCAATTTAAATTGTTTCAAACTTGCCTGGATTAAATTTTATTCAGGCAAGTGTTTGGTACCCAAATTAGGCTTGATTCAACCAAAGTTAAGGAGTTCTATGTTTCAGTAATTTTCACAGGAAAGAGTTAAGTAGTACCATAGATAGATAGAAAGAGGTGAGGGGAGAGGACGCAGGAGTACAAAAAGTGCTGGAAAATAATGTATAAACATGAACCATTGAAGTCCAACTCAATTTATGGAACAGTATGAACAGACATTATCTTAAAAATGGAGAATAAACCATGTTGCGCCTGAATGGCTGTTTACCTGAAATGTATGTGATTATAGCAGATCATTACAAGTGTTTCCTAGTACATTCTTATGTCCTTTTCTCTCTTGTTTATTAATTATTCTCGCTGCTTCTATTTACTTAATTCTTTCAAAACATGAAAACCCAAAGTTCCAATATTTTAAAAGGACTGCAAAGTTTACAAAGGAAAAAGCCTGATGGTGAACAGAATGCTATCCCCTTAAAAACAATAGCTTCTTAAAATAATAAGAATAATATCAACCAGGTTTGACTTTTTAATTATGTGAATCTTAGTGTTTTTGTCCAATACTGGAAATGAAGGAATTGTGCAACAAAATATTTATAGAAATCCGTGAAGCTTTTTTGTTGTGTTTGGCCAGCAAAACTTATCGGGGGGAAGATGCACCTTTTGTGTGCGTGATATTGTACAGAGGCGCATCAGCAAAGATATTTTCTTCCTTGTGTCATTTCTCTTGTGTACATGGTAGGATCCCCAATTTTAATTTCTAGCAGTGAGCTGACAGATTTCATTTTACAGATGTGGCTGCTTATTCTACGACAGGCAAGGGCCAGAGGTTTTCTAGTCAACAGGAAATGCAGAGGAGTGATGAGAGAAGAACAGGCCTACCACACCTCTTCAGTGAGGTAGATTATTGCATGTATCGTTGAATGCCACATCATAGCAGTACCATGTATGCTCCATTCATACAGTTGCACACAAAACCTTACAATATGTGAACGTGTTTGCTTAACAAAACTACTGAGGCAAGATATCCAGGCAAACACAAGCTAGCATTTTACACATCACACAAAAGAGGCAATGCTGGTTAGGATGTACAACATGAGACATTGACAACATTTCTGTTGAGAACAGCCACCCATCAGTCAAGAATTTTTCATTCACTCTCATGTTGAGAATTAAAAAAAAATCCAAAAAGTGTCTTGTGAACAAGCTTCTATCACCAACCACATCAGAAAGGGTCCATTTATTGCATTGCTGAGCATAAAAAGGAGATGTGTAACCTTTAAAGGGCACACAAAGTCTCTGGCAAGGACTAGCAGGCTGGATTTCCAACAACAGCAACCAAATGATCAGTATCTACTGGCTGATTGAATGGCAAAGTTAACCAGCTTGATCACAGAAATTTTAATTGATTTGCTGGCAGGTAGGGTTTGCTTAGCATCCCCAGGAGAAGGAAAAATGTTCACATTCTTTAGGTCTGACCCGTGACAAGGGCAAATAAGGGTCCAGCAAACATCTTTTACTGGCCATTGGGAAGATTTTTCGGCAATAAAATCCAGAGATTCAGGCCAGCTGAATCTAAGTTAATATGAACAAGGTAAAAATAAGAAGAAAGGAAACACGAAGAAAACTGGACGAAGAGAGATTCAGACTAGCATGTGGCGCTTCCTATGAAGGGCAAGATGGTCGGAGCGAGAGAAGCTACGGTCACAGTCTGGGCACTGGAATGGCTTGACTCCCGTGTGCTTTCGGAAATGTCGCGTTAGTTCATCAGATCGAGCAAATTTCCATGTGCAACCTTCCCAAGTGCATTTGTAAGGCTTTTCCCCTGAGAAAAAACAAAAAGGACATTTTTAAAACAAAGCAAAAAACACTATAGCTCTTGTTGTTTATGTAAGCATTGACTTCTCTCTGTCAGTTTTTGATAGAAGCACCTTTGACAGGAATTACTGCTGTGAGTTTTCCTGCTTGGTTTCTATTAGTTTTGCACATTGGAACCTTGCGTTTTTTGCCCATTCTTTCCTGGCAAAGTTGCCCCTGCTTATTTGGATCAGACAGGGAATTTAGCATATTTTGAAATACTGTTATATATTCTCTGGGCCATTTTAAGGCATTTGGGTTCTCCTTTATAAATCACTCCAGTGTTATTTTGGTTGTGTGTTTAGGTCATTATCCCGCTGAAAGGTGAAGCGCTGGCTGAATTCCAGGTCCCTTGCAGTCTGAAACAGGTTTGCCAGATTCCAGGCCCCTTTCCTCTAGAATTGCCTTGTATTTGCCTTCAATTTGGAGAGATTTCTCAGTGCCTTCAGAGGAAAACACATATCTGTAACATGATTCTGCCACCCCTGTGCTTCAGCATGCAGAGAATGTTCTCAGGGCAATGAGAACCGCTGGCTTAGCACCCACACACAGTGCTTTAATGCATAGCCAAAATGTTTCATTTTAGTCTCACCAAGCCATGCATGCACCTTTTAAATTTTTTTAAATGTTTTGTTTCAACAATAGTTTTCTTCTTGCCACTCTTTCAGAGCTACCACTGGTCTCTTGGTTTTTTCTCTCTCTAATGTGCCCCTAATTTACTGAGTCACTGAGTTTGCATGGATTATGTTCTCTAGGCAGACTTGTGGTTAACCCATGTTCTTTTAATTTTGCAATAGTGGATTTAATGGTACTCTGGGACATAGCCATAATTTGAAATATTTAAAAAATATCCCATGGGTTGGGTGGGATTTTTGATGTATTTTTTAATCAAATCCACATTGGTGTTTCTGCTTAATTTTATCCTGGACTTCTTTTGACAGTTGTCTTTCTGATGCTTTTTGTTTAGACACACTCTCAAAAAATGGAAGGAAAAGAAATCCCTTCACCCCTTCCTCCAAGTCTTAATAAATCTCTCTGTCATTTAAAAGGAACATTTAAAAAAGAAGTTTGAAATGTGAGCATATAATGCAGTAAATCTGGGACAAATTTGGTGATGATGTAAAAGGGTGTGGTAGAGCAAACTTCACTGAGTCACCATTTAGCTGGCAAGCAAAATAAGCAGGCCAAAGTCTGCACGGAAAAATATAACCAGTGCTGCAGTTCTACACATCTCTAATGGAAAATAAACACTGAACATGGCAAGATTTACTCCAGAGGAAAATCCACAGGATTTCACTTAGTTGAAAAGCAAACCCAAGCAATGAATCTGCATCTTCAAGGGAAACGTAACCTCATCAAACACAGATTGAATCTTTATTTATTTATTATTTACTATATTTCTATACCCCACTTCTCAGCTCGAGGACAACTCAGGGTGGTTTACAAGACCAGTACAATTCGATGCCACAATAATATAAACAGTTAAAAGCATACAAACATCCATAAAATTCCATAACAATAAAATCAATAAAACATAAAAACAAATCCTATGCATCTAATTTCCAGAATCATTATTCGATTGCAATTGTCCAGCTGTTCTGAGGTCAAGTAATTATTTGCTACACTGCATTTGAGAAAGCCTGCTCACAAAGCCAGGTTTTGACTTTTTTACAAAATGTTAAGAGGGTGGGGGCTGATCTAATGTCCCTGGGGAGGGCGTTCCATAGCCGAGGGGCCACCACTGAAAAGGCCCTATCTCTAGTCCCCGCCAACCGAACCTGTGAAGAAGGCGGGACAGAGAGCAGGGCCTCTCCAGAAGATCTTAAATTCCTGGATGGTGCATAAGGAGAGATACGCTCGGACAGATAAGCAGGGCCAGAACCGTTTAGGGCTTTATAGGCTAAAGCCAGCACTTTGCTGGACACAGCATATTATTTGAGAACACAGAAATGCTGGACCACACCAACAACCACCATGTCAGACTACACAGAGAAGCCATTGAAATCCACAAGCATGTGGACAATTTCAACAGAAAGGAAGAGACCATGAAAATGAACAAAATCTGGTTACCAGTATTAAAAAACTCAAAAATTATAACAGCTAAACAACAGAGAGGAAAAAACCAGGCACAGATTAACACCTCCCAGCAACAGATTTTCCCAGAGTCAGGCAGGCCTTCAAATGCTAATGAAGGTGATCAGCTAAACATTCACACCTAACTGCAGCAGGGAAGAGCTCCTTGCCCCACCCCAGCCATTCCACAGATATATAAGCCCATTTTTCCTACTTCCAACAGACCTTCTCAACCTCTGAGGATGCTTGCCATAGATGCAGGCGAAACGTCAGGAGAAATGCCTCTAGAACATGGCTCTATAGCCCGAAAAAACCCACAAGAACCTACTTTGAATTGTGCTCGGTATTTCCTGATCTGCTTTCCTAATAACCAGAAGTGTTTGTGTGTCACCACAGTGAAATTCTTAATTTGTTCACCCTCATCCAATCTATTAGTGACAACAGACACTGGTATGGTACAGAGTTAAATGAAAAGGAGTGATAGAGTTGAGTGTCAATGGCATACTGCTGACAATTAAATCGCTGGGAAACCTGTCCTACTAATTCAGGCATGGATAAACTTCTTCCCTCCAGGTGTTTTAGCTGTTAGGAATTATAGGAATTGACGTCCAAAAGATATGTGGGGCAGAAGTTTGCCCATGCCTGAACTAGTTACATGTATATGTTAAATAGTATGGGAATAGCATGAGTGTGACCCTCTAAAAAAGATTGGTGCCACTGCAAGACAGTGCCTCCGGATTCCACAGAGATGGCCAAGTATACAATGGCTGATGGTACTGAAAGCCAATAAGAGATCCAGCAGAACCCACAGGGAACATCACTCTGTCCAGTTTTATCCTTGACACCTTGGAACTGGGAAGCCATCGTGTGCTCAAGAGCCTTGCCCACAGAAGGGATACTGAGGGCTGGTTGGTGATTATCTAATATGGCGGCGTTCAGCAAAGGCATGTTCAGTAAAGGCCTCATGTAGCCTTCTTTCTGTATTCTGCCTTCCAATTAGGCCATGCGAGCTGAAGCCAAGGGATCCCATTACTATTTCAGAGAGATAGGGGTGTTCCACCTCAAAACCTTTCCCTGCAATAATGAATGCAGACTGCTATCTCCATTCTCAGAATGGAGGCTGGAAACAAAGGGAAGATTTCCTCTACTCCTTCAGCATTTCCCACTGGGAAAGGGGTGGGGATAGATGACAAAAGCACCCATCATCTGGGATTCTTAGATATCTGAAAAAAGGGAAGGGACACCTGGGACGGAGAAAGACTAGATTGAATCAGGCAAGGAATAGGGCTTGGGATTTGACCATTGGCTCCCATGATTCATTCTGAGGAGGAGGGGTGGACAATCCGATCTGAAAGAGCAATCCACGTCCTTGCCCTTGTTTTAGGAACTTCAGTTACTGCTTCTGTAGCTATAGTTGTTCTGCTGTCCAGATCATTCTGAAACCTTACAACCACAGGTAGCTCACACGCACAAATTTGTGCTCACTTCTTTAGTTTCAAGAAATTATTATTATTATTATTTATTTATTCACCACATTTATATCCTGCCCTTCAAAGGCCCAAAGGGGACTCAGGGTGACCTTACAAAGACAACAATTCAATGCCATATATTAATACATTGGTAAATAAACAAAAACGTTAAAACCAAACCCATTAAAAACATATCAATTTAAGTACTATAAGCGAAGCCACTCGGTTCCTTCTCCCCTTTCTCAGTGATGCCTGCAAAGTGCTACTTGCAAAGCACTGCAGTTCATACATTCAAGCTAGGGTTAAGTCGCAATCTAATTCTATGTGCAAAGAAACGACGTTAATACTCTTTTGATGCAACCCAATGAAGCTTCCTAAAAAGAAAATAAATGTTATTTAAATTTGTTTCATACCTGTATGCGTCCTTCTGTGTGCTTTTAAATGGGAGCTTTTAGTGTAAACTTTGTTGCAGCCTTCATAATCACATCGGTGTATCCTACGCTTCCTTTGTGTGTCAGGAGATTCCACAGGTAATGGCCTCTTACCAGGCTGAACTATAACTGAAGGGTGATTCCTGAAAGAAGATATAGTTCAAAAATTAAATCTTTCTAGCTAAATCTTTTAAAATGCTATACCACAAAGCTCTTTTATCCGCCCCCCTCTTGTCTTTTGGCAGCATGATCGACATTACATGCATGTGGAAAAATTCAAGCAAGCTTAGCAAATTTCATGGACTTTAGTGGTAAAACTTTGGCTCTTTTCCCCAATGAGGTTTTTATTCATTTCTGGAATGAAGAACAATAAAAAGTTACCTAACATGTTACGATTTTTTCCATTTATTTTTTAAGGTAGGCTCTAGTTTTCTAGACAAGTGTGCTTAGATTTTCTAAATGCTCAGTTAGTAGTGAACTTCCATTAGTTTCTTCATACAGTCTTATCCTGTGTAAAACACAGATTTTTTAAAAAAGAACCCATTTGGCTGATAGCATTTTCATGTTATTAACTCTATCACTTCTTTTGCCTTTCAAAGCTAAATCAAATGGCTTTATTGTTCATCCACTCCTTTAGAGACCAATTAAGAATTTCCTGTTTAGGGCTGGCAAAAGGGTGCGGCCTCCCTTCACCAATGATGTCAATTCCTAAAAGTAGTGTGCAGACCAAATGTGTCACACCCACAGGATGTCTGAAATTATCTCTCTAGCCTCAAAAAAAAAAAAACCCCAAAAAAAAAGAAGGTTTTCCCAGCTTGCATCCTAAAAACTACTGTGCAGGTGAGATGTTCAAAATAAGACACCACCACTGCAATCTGTTTAGAACATGACAAAGGATACAGAACACTTGACTATTAACAGGGCAGTAATGATCTCTAAACTTAATTAGCATTTCCAGAAATGCTTGTAACTTTATGTGAAATTAATGCCTCCTGTCCCAATTCTGAGATACCAGTTGATAATTTTATAAGATGCATGTCAGAAATCTGTTGGGGACAGACATAAACCTCTCCTATACATATGAATGACCCTTTTCTGGTTGGGATTGCCTTCTTCCTCCCATGATGCCCAAAGGTCCCAACCCAATTTACTGAAAGTCCCCTGCCAGTAACCCACATGGCTATTCCACTCTTTTCTGTGAGAAGGCATCTGGCTAATTCCCCAAAGTCAGATGCAAAATTATGATTATCAGTTTTGAGGTCCTCTGGGATTCTCCAAGGATCTCAGCACTGCTGCCATTATGTTGTGTCTAGCTATGGGATGTAACAAAATCTTCTCAGGACCTAACTGCTCACTATGGAGCACAGGGTGACCACGTGGTAGCATCAGAAGCTTCTCAATAAATTGAGGGAAGGCAATATCACTCAATACAGCATAGGTTCACGAGGGGTATTTATACCAACTTGCTGAATTGAGGCCAGAAAGATCTCTGCGCTATTTAGATTTGAAGTCTGATTTTCATAAGTGCTTAGAACTCAAAGTTCTTAACCAAATGTATAGCAGCTGACATCTTAGGAAATACTAAAATTGGCAAGAATTAACAATGGTCGGTTGGATTTTTTAAAAAAAGATCCCTCCTTTATCCCATGCAATTTGCACTTTTAGAGGCAATAACCATAGTGATACATCATTAGTGGTCACCATCATCTATACCATGTATTACTCCAACAAGACAAATTGCCAGGAAAACAATAAGTTGCAATTACAGCTTCTGACTCTAATAAATGTACAGTTGTCACTACTTTACAAATATCAAAGGTCTGTCTGTCCATTTTTCTTTAGCACTATCAGTATACATGGTCCTTTACATAATCAGTGCAAAATTGTGAATTTGGCAGTTCCTTGCCCTCAGGCTTACAATCTAAAAATGTAAGATACACAAGGAAATGGGGGTGGCAGCGGGATGCATGGAAGGCCTTTCATGAGTTGATGCCCTGGGTGCAATGTCTTCCTAGTATTCTCCCTCTACAAGGACAATACCAGGGCAATTGGCATGAAGGGCAGGCCTTTCCTTAGCTGCTGGGTCTTGGCATGAGGGAGCTGTGCTGTTTGCAACAACAGCAGTTATATGTAACAAAAAATAACATTAATGATAATACTGGCAACTTTCTGTATTTATTTGCTTCCAATCAAAGGAAAACTCTAGGATTGCAAGAAGAAGATAGATAGATAGATAGATAGATAGATAGATAGATAGATAGATAGATAGGTTAAAGCTATATTGCATGACGTAAGTTTCAGTGGTACCAATCCTTACTGCTCATTGTAATAATGAATGTATTCTATGGCAGACTGGCCCAGCTTACATGGCTATTTATGACTAGACATTCACACAGAGAGGTCTTTCTGAAACATAAAACATTATCTTCCAAAAAGACATGTTGCTGTGGTTTATATAGCTCCCCCACACAAAGTGTCTACTGTGATATTTATCTGTGTTAAAAATTGTTTCCTATAAACCAAGGACAAAGGATTTCACATGGGCCGAATGTTCAGATTCCAACTGCTCATGCATATATTGTTAGAATATATTCTTAGTGCTGAATGGAAACAAATTCAAGGGACATGACCCACGAAAACATAACTGTGAACAGCCTTCATTCTTGGCTAGCACTGATACCCATGTAGCCCTGTTTACATAAAAAATAGCTGATGGTTGGGAAAGCTGTGGCCCACCACATACTGTTGAACTCCAATTCCCATCGGCCTATGCCAGCCTGGCCAATAGTGGAGGATAACGGCAGGATCATCTATGTAACACTGAGAATGTTGGTAGGTGGGAATTATACACCTTATACACCTCAACCATTAAACAGGTCAAGATGCTTCCAACTCAAGACAGTCTGAAACACTACTTGAATCAGCTCTTGTTCTGAAGACATTCCAGCATATTTTAAAAAGTAAACCTATGCAAAACATTATATTGAAGGTACTTTAATTGATTTTCATTAATCAATAACAGTGTCTCCTTGTAGGAGAGGATGTGAACAGAGATTAAAGTGTGGCTAAACTGCTACCAAATATATGTCTTCCAGGGACCTAATCCAGTACATCAACAATAATGCCACATTATTATTACTTTTCAGTTTTACAAATAGTAATGAAAAGATTGCATTACAAATGTTGTGTATTCTCTTATTATCAGTGGTGAGAAAGGCCATTGCTAGAGGAGGGAAATATGCTGAGGAATTAAATCTGCTCACAGGATGCAGGAAGCTGTGGGATATGGCCTTAAGAGAAAATTTAACAACTAAGTGTACAGTTTTCAAAGGGAAATTGGAGCACACACATTCATTCTTGTTTAAAACTATGCTGGTGATAACCCAGTTCCACAGGGATTGAAGTCATATTGGAAAACGTTTTTACAAGATCTCTTTTTAAAAAATGATTTTTGGGTCATATAGTGCTATATGCATCTTATCATTTTGTATTGTTACCGTTGTTGAACTAAACTAAGAAAAACATTATTTAGAAAAAAGCTGCAAGGGTTTCCCACCCTTGAGGTAAGGGAGAAACAGAGACTTATTCCACTACTATTCCTTATTATTTATCAAGCAAGAAGCCCAAACTTCATTTTTTGCACCGAGCACTTCTAATAAAATCAAGGAATTTGATTACAACATAGAAATTTCTGTTGGAATTTCTGCAAGGTAGGACTTTTTTTTTAAAAAAAAAACACGCACACAAGCAGTCTTTATGGTTGCTAGAAAGAATTAGTCAGATTATCTTTCAATATATTACAGCTTTTACTGATGACTCTCATGACATGATGGCTCTCAATAAATTTTAAATTGTTACTACTGGTAACACTGCCGACATAAGACATTGAGAGCAATGTTTTACCGAAAGAAAGGACCATCCATCAAAACAAGTAGCTTCAGATGCCTCAAATAAGAAGAAAGCTAAGTCAAGTGATGCAGGAGAATGGGAAAAAAGCCCTCTAGTGCTGGTGTTCTAGACAATTTGATGTGGAAAAATATCTTTTCTGACTTGCCAACTGTAGCAATCAATCACTGACAAAATCTATTCAAGAGTAATGAAAAACACAAATGGCAATGGAAAAAAAAATCTCCAAACCATACAGCATGGACATACTCCAACAAGGTTCTGAATGGCTCCACTTCGGTATTTCCTGGGCATTTTTTTGGCAATAGTGCAACACCATAGTTGCACTAATGAAAAATATATTTTAATTGATCATATCAAAGTTTCCCTCCTTTTTTAAGTCTAAGGGAGCCTGGAGTGCCACTATTCCTGAAGGTTTTGAACATTATTCTGTCTGAATATAAATGTGCTTTGAGATGAAGCTTTTTAAATACGATCACTCTGATTGCTCAACGGAATTTTACAAAGGAATCCAGATGTTATTGTATTCCATTTGTTGCCCTTTTGTGTTTTCCTTTCTCTCATCTTTTTCAACCACAAAAGTATTTTCAAATGTCACAAAGCACCGCAATTGTAAAAATTGTGCTATTCTGAATATTCTGGATCTAGTCTGCAATGAAAAAGAACATTTAAGTCTTATTTTAGAACAGGCAATTAACTACTTACTCTTGAAACATTGCTTGAGGGGGTGACAATGAAGTCATCAATGGAGGGGACATTTGTTCGGTGTAGTAGTCATTCCTAGGTGATTCCAGACCTGGTTCTACCTTGATAGATTTCTTTAGTGCTTGTTTCTCATAAGACTCAATTACAGAGACTACCAAAAACAAAAACAAAGAAATAAAACAAAAATGAGTAAGTGAATGAGTAAATACAAACAGAGCTTGCAAAAGTTATATGCTGACAAGGTGATTTGGGGAGTTGTATACAGGAAATTCTGAATATAAAGAAAAATCCTAGACTTGAAAATACTCCCATTCCTCCATGAATGATGCTCGAGGCAGCACTTATCTTTTTGGTTGCCTATATTGTCACAAAAATTGTGGAAAAGGTTGGGCATGGTATTTTAAAACAGGCTGAGGAAGTATCCCTTATCTAAAATGTTTGGGAGCAGAGTGTTTTGGATTTTTAATTGTTTTTCAGATTTGGAATATCTGTATCTGCATATATGTATATATATTAAGATATCTTTGGGACCCAGGTCTAAATATGAAATCCATTTCTGCTTCTTGTATACCTCATACATATTGCCTGAAGGAAGATTTATACAATATTTTAAATAATTTTGTGCACGAAACAATATTTGTGTTAGTTAATTATTAGGGAAAAACAGTGTCATTCTCACAGTCAGACATGTGGGCAATTTTGCAGTATTTTGTATTTTGTAATACCAGATAAGGGATATTTAACCTATACCCTGCACCTTCTAGTTAAAAAATACAAAGCACTATCTATCTATCTATCTATCTATCTATCTATCTATCTATCTATCTATCTGTGGAAGAACATGGGATTTTTAAATGAGAAGAAATGGAGCAGTAGTAAGGAACCACAAAAATGCATGCTTTTACCTGGCACACTACTTGGACTTTCCAACTCTTCTGAAAGGACTGTGGATACCATAAGAGGCTGTTGTAGGTGAGGGGCGTACATAAAAGGGACAGGTTGTACTACAACTGGCTGTATAACTGGAAGTAGCCCAGGGCTTCGAAGTCCATGGCGTGAAAGAGCTGCCATTACTGGAGGAATAGTTAATGGCATAGGGAAAGGCTGTATTCCTGGTGGCGTCAATTTCTTCATTGGAGGGCTGGGTGAAGGCAGATTTAATCCAGGTGAGGCTATCCTGTGTGAATTCTGGAATTTCAGGGGAGAAGGAGAACTTCCGGCTGAAGGTGGCTTGTTCACTGTGAGATCAACGGGCTCAAGCTGAACTCCATTGCACAATTCTTCTGGAAACTGATAGAATTTATTGTGCATCATATTCGGCGTTGAATAAATGACACTGTATTTGTTGGCTTTCATGTGATCCATGTAACTAGAATTGAATGACTATGTGAAAAAAGAAAGGGAGACAGAGAAATGAAATGGATACTGATATTAATAGCATAAAAAACAGACACGTGTTTGTTTTTTTTAAAACAAAACAAAACAAAATAAAAAACGAGCCAGGAATTTTTTTGATTAGTTCTAATTAGGATAGAGTCAACAAACCAACTACTGAATAAATAATTCAATATTTAGGTAAATTTCACAGAGTTAATGGGTTTATTCTAGATAGGACTAACAACAGCATTTGGGCCATTGCTTACCTATGAATCATCTTCATAGTAATTTAACGTAACTACTGTATTTAACTATGAAGACAAATTGAAATCTATAAAGTGGATATCTATACCTGCCCCCAGGTGGCACAGTGGGTTAAAACACTGAGCTGCTGAACTTGTTGAGAGAAAGGTTGGTAGTTAGAATCTGCGGAGCAGGGTGAGCTCTCGCTGTTAGCCCCAGCTTCTGCCAACCTAGCAGTTCAAAAACATGCAAATGTGAGTACATCAATAGGTACCGCCTTGGAGGGGAGCTAACTGCGCTCTATGCAGTCATGCTGGCCACATGACCTTGGAGGTATTTACACAACGCCGGCTCTTAGGCTTAGAAATGGAGATGAGCACCACCCTCCAGAGTCATATACGACTAGACTTAATGTCAAGGGGAAACCTTTACCTTTACTATAAATAATAATAACTTTATTTTGTACCCCGCCTCCATCTCTCCGAAGGGACTTGGGGCGGTTTACATACTGTGCCTGGAACAACGCATAAAATAAATACACAATACAATGATAGAGAAAACCACAAGGATATAAAACAATTATTTAAACTCAAAACAGTGCCCAATAATCTACGGTGAGAACTGTGGTAAAACATAATGCTCTTTGAAATAAAGAGGTGACTCAAAAAGGCACATACTTTGGATAAAGGGATTGTTTTCTTTCAGAGCAGATTTCTTACTTTTTTGTAGTTTTAAAAGATTTGTGGGTGTGATTCACTGAGGTCCAAGGTGGGCAAACAGGACCCTGGAGTATCTAAAATGTATTTCTGGCATGATCAGCCCTCATAGTTACTGCTTCTGCCAAAACTAAGAGTTATTTTGCAGCATTCTGTTTCTAAATAGGAATAATCTATTGGGGTGTTTTCTTTGTGCTGTGGATATAGTGAGACCTACAATAACAAACCAACTCCAGTTCCAACTTTAATGTGAATTAATCAGAAGTGTGGGAATATGTAACACCTTTTGACAATTATATTTAAGGCATTAAAACTTGGTGTAATATTCCTTTAATACATTTTCAGGAATCAAGCCTTCTTTGCCTTTTGTCTTTTCCCAGATACTGAATTTGTAATCTTGTACCTATCATAGCTTAAAGATCTATTTGAAAAAAATAATAATTTATTAAGGTTCTGAATGATCAAGGAGGGATAATTAACTTTATTAAACACCTTATGGCTTCCAGGGTTTGCCCAAACTACTCCAGAGATGGTGAAACTCAAAAGGTGCACCACAGCATTCTCTGGAGCCTCGCCAGGGATCCTATGGCACTCCTCACAGACGGAAGACTGTTTTGCTGATGCCCCAAGGAACTGCGTGGGATGCCTGTGCAGCCAAGCTGGCTACAGTAGTTAAAGTATGGCTATGTGCAGCAAACAAATGCCATGATAAGGCCTACATTAAATCTTGTATTATTACCTTACAAAACATTGTGGTATTAAATATTTATAATTGAGCATGGGATAATCATACAGCCATTAACCAAGTGCAACTGAAGAGCAGGAGGATTCCAGAAATATGTTTCATCCAGGTAAAATAATTACATTGACATAATATAGTGCTTTGAGAGGACTGACACTTTGAGCTAGTCCAAAAGCATGTTTGAGGTGATTTGACAAACAAATCCTGGATGCTATACCAATACGGAGCACCTGAATGCAAGTCTAGAAGTGACATAATAGAACTAAATGAGACCCAAGGTGCTATAAGGCTCAGAATTGCACAAGGATGGCATGTGACCACTGAGGCAGGAACAGAGAGGCACATATCATCTAAAAAAGCATTTGTACCATTACTAGGGGATGTGACGTGGAGAGTGCAAGGAGGAGAGGCATGTTCATGTGAGAATGCAGAGGATCACATGAAGGCAGTGGGAAAAGTATAAATGTCTCTAGGACAGACAAAGGGAGGAGGCAGGGAGGAAGAGAGAGATGGGGCAAGTGGATGTGTGAGTAGTACTGTGAGGAGGGCAATAGCAGTGGGAATGGGCTTTGGCAGCTGCTCTTATGGAGGAAATGACAGCACTGCCTCTGTCTGGCCAGGAGACCCTTGCACTATCCACACTTCCTCCTCTTGATCCCTCATCCCACTCTCTTCCCTATGCCACTTGAATGTGTGTGCAAGGGAACACATGAGCCACTATAGGGCCTTTTTTGGTGTGTGCGTTTGGGGTATCTCATGTTTTCCCCATTTTTTGCACCCTAACAGCTGTGAAAGTGGAAGGCTAGCTGTACCCATTCACAACAGACATCACTAATGAATTCTATGTTCAAATGTTATGCTGTTTCAACAATTTTAAATGTAGCATAGCATTACAGAAAAAATAGTATCACCACAGCTGTTAACATTACAAATTTATCACTATTCTCATTTCTATACATCTGAGTTTGGCAACATACATACTTGAATTTGATGTAGCTAAATAAATAAATAAGGCTCTCTAGTTTCTATAACTTTAAAAATTAATGATTTTCATTTTGCATCTATGTCAACCTTTTCCTTAAGAATTAACCTAGTAGGAAAACATGGATTTCATGCAAATGAGATAAGCAGGTTAGTGAAGGAGAACCCCAATAGCACAATTTCCCTACAGCCCCCCCCCCCCCCGGTAATGTAGTAATTTACAGATCTAATGTTCCATTCACATGTCAGACTTCAAAGGTGAAACAAACATTTTGGCCTAAATCTATTTGTTACTCCCTGGGATTACCAATTAGAGATATGCATGTTTTGTTGCCATTAATACATACATGTTCCAGATCAAAGCCTAGCTGAACAGTTGACATTTTACACCCAGAAGTGGATGTTCTTATAAAGTTAATCTGAAGTAATATGCTATATGTTATGATTCTTGTGATGATGAAAGAGTTTTATTATCGTAAAGAATTCACATATTTTAAGCTGCATAGTACACGTTCATTTTATAAGGTTTCTACAATCAACAGCAAATCCTAATTTCTTGTGAATGATCGGAATATTTATTGAAATTGTGTTTGTCAAGCCTTTTAATGGTACTTGGGCCCTCAAGCCGACTATTCATATAGCAAAGGCATGTAACCATAACTATTTGTATAGCAAAACCATTTTTTCTAGAAAATTAAATGGATAGAAAACTGCTTGCACACACATAGAAGTACCACATTAACTGTTTCATGCTACATATAATCAACAGGGTGGAACTCAAGGGACACTGTAATTAACTTTGCAACCAACTTATCACTTGTGTGTTGAAACAACTGAATAGTCTGACAGAGATGACAAAATACTCTGGGTGTGCACTCTTATTATGTGATCATGGTAAATCTTTCAGGATCACACCCATACCACCATATACCTAAAAATCAGCACTGTGCTTCTTCTTTCAGGCCTCAACCTTTTACACCTGAAACGGAACTCAGGGTTCCAATTTACAAATCTGAACTGCCTCCTCCTATTCTCCTGGAATCTTCCCAAAAACAGAACGGGGGGGGGGGGCACACAAAATTTGAAATGAAAACAGATTTGCACACCCCTAATACAGATAGCTTTGTGGAAAAGATATATAAAATGTACAATGTAGTCCAGATATTGTAGAGGGTGAAAACCTTTGAGAGGGTGTAAACATTTTGATTTGCTGGAAGTTTAATTTACATCACTGGAAACAGGGTAAGATCTTGTGTTTTAAAATATGGGTTCATGTTAGCAATTCATGGGAATGTTTCTTTTCCATCCATGGTATCAAATCTTGTCAAAAGTTTCTACAAAACTGTGCAGGTATTCGAAATCCTTTTTGCATTTTGCAGCATCATCCTCAGTATACCAATTTGGAAGTAAGGTTTTCCATTGAAAACAATGGGATATACTTCAATGTAAACTGTTAAAATCAGTATATCAATAGGGCAATTGATTAATTACTATATTATGCATTTGGAGAACCAAATTAACCCATGAACTCATACAATTAGAATATATTTTCCAGATTTCAGTTCTTCAGATTCAAATAGGTAGGTACACAAAGCCCAAAATTCTTGGGAATGTTATGAATGGAATACCATACTTATTATACTCCTTTAAAAATTACTAATATTCAACCAAGGTAGGAAATCTTGAAAGGGCCCTCAGAGACTGGACAGTCACACAGAGACACTGAGGAAGCTCAATGCATCACTTACATCTGAGGACAACAGAGCATCTGGTGGATACTGCCCATTTAGGCTCAAGAGCAATTTAAAGTAAAATTCTTTTACATTTTTAACCATACTGATTATTTAAAGAGAGATTTATTTTCACTAAGTACTATGCAGTGTTCAGTTTTCTTGATCAGAAAAAGGAGGTGCTTGTTTGTTTTAAACTGAATTCAAGACAGTGATTCATTAATATTCAAATTTTATAAAGATGTATTTTTGACATGTCTGCCACCAATGTCTGAATACTGGCATTTGGATCCTTTTCTACAAATATTATAAATATCCATGACAACTTTGTTTTAAAGTCACCCTTACATCTTGTATAATCACTGCTGGAAGGAATATGACTAGCCAAAAACAGAGATGATCTAATTGTATAAGTTTCTTATTACCAGCAATGTCTTAGCTACAGTCCTTTATTCATTTTTTCCTCTTTGCAATAATTTTCCAAGGACACAGGGGCAGACAAAGCAAATAGGCGTACTGCATCGGATTCACTTTAGAAGATCCTAAACTAACCTTATTTCCTACACATTTCTGTGTTGGTCTAGCATAAATTCTAAAGAAATATGTGTTTTAATTGCTTATATATTTACATTGTTTATATTTTGATGAGATATGTTTTACTGTTTCCCTGTGCGGCATTGACTTTTTTGCTGGAATTGTAAGCCGCCTTGAGTCCCCTTCGGGGTCAAGAAAGGCAGGGTAGAAATGAAGTAAGTAAATAAATTAATTAATAATTGCATTAAAAAAGGAATTCTATTTGAAGCTCAAAGATGTGGTAGTTACAGCCTAAGTAACAAGGCTGTTTCTTTCCCCCACTTTTCTTTATAGAGACAATATGTCTTTAAAACAGCATGGCAGAAAGAAATCTAAGAGGCAATTTCTTCACTTCTAAACAGGGGAACCAAACCTTTTTAATATCTACCTGATAAGAAATAATTAAAGGCAAACCTCTCTGTGATTATGCAACACTTCAGATGTTCTCTAATTAATATTCCTTGGCATGATGGACATCAGTGCTTTTCAGGGGAAATAGTGGGTCACTTTTTGTTTCTTGGGTAATCCAAAGATTAGTGTAAATAGATGCCACCTTTAGCTTGCCAAGGGTCTAATACACAACAAAAACTTTAATGGAAATTAATACTGACCACTGGAACTGGTTCCATTGCTTCTTGTTTGATAGGTACTGGGTCAAACATTAGCATCTTCTCAGCCAACTCTATTTGTGGTAATGTTGCTCAGATCTCTAAAAACATAAGGGAAAAAACTGACTTTAAAAAGTTCTTAAAAAGCATATTGTAATTCACATATTCGAAATACACATATTCTTAGATTATTCCTTAGAACAACTCTTGCTAGCATACTTCTATTCATATTAAGATTGTGTGCATGTTCATGCCTCAGAATGAAATACTAATGACCAGGGGATTAATTCAGTTTGAACCAGTAATACATGTCTTTCAGTTCGTACTATGTTGTACCTGCTTTCATGACTAACAATATTGCATTCATTGGATGATTCTTGCCCACAAATCTCAGTATGCTACAGTCATTAGCATGCTGATATGTATGACGGGAGTTTAGGGAAATGTAATTTACTATTTTCTTTATGGCAGCCAGTGTGGTTTCGTAGTTCGTGAGTTGGGCTAGGACACTAGAAGTATCTCTGCTCAGCCATGGAAATCCACTTGCTGACCTTGGGCAAGTCACACTCTCAGAGAAATGCAAGGAAAACTGTCTCTAAACGTATTCTAACAAGGAAATCCCACAATAGACTTGTCCTTAGCATTGCCATAAATCAGAAATGACTTGAAGGCACACGCCAAGAGCAACAAATGTACATTATGTTTGGAAATAGTCTAAGTCAGGGTGAGGATCATGCACACATCAGCCTATATTTGAGATTCCCAAAGAAGCCTTAACAAGAGCACTGATAAATTATGGTAGAAAATCATGTCATTGTTCAATGGGAAATAGAGAAAATCCAAATGCTAACTTTCAGCATCAAACTATTATCATATATTGAAAGAATACATGCCGCTTTGAGTTTCCTTGGGAGAAAGTACAATATAAATAAATTAAATAAAAAGTGTTGTACTTTCAGCAAAAGAGAGGGAAGAATGGAAGAAATCTGCAAGATTTGCCCCCGATGATCAAAAAATAAAGCAAGAGTTTAATGTGGCTGACAGTTTATTCATGGCAAACACATCATTCAAGAAACCAAAGAGGCAACCGTATACATCAACATCACCCAATGGCTAATATAAAAGCAAAATAGACTTCATTAGTGGGAGCACAAATGGAGAAGCTCCATTCTCCCTAAAAATAAGGTCTGGGAGCAGATTGCAGAACAGACTATGAATTGCTAATATCAAATACCACAGTAAAACTGAAGTAGAACACTATAGCATTATGAAGAAAATCTCCATAGAATTTAAGGATAATGTAACAAATAGACTGGCATTATTAAACCTAATTGACAAGGAGCCAAAAGAACTATGGAATGAAAACAGAGACCTTTTTAGAGAGGAATGAACACACTATCCCCAACAAAAAAGAAAGAGATGTCTCAATGAATGACAGACGAAACTCTTTGAGCTGTTAAGGACAGATGAGAACAAAAGTAGACGATGACAGAAATAGGGTCAGATCTTTGAACGCAACTGTTTGGTGACTTGTTCATATGAAGAAAGAGAATGACTACAATAACCAAGGCAGAGAAATAGTAGATAACAAAAAGAAAGGAAGAACAAAATTCCTTTTCCACAAGATCCAAGAAATCAAATGAAAATTTAAGCCAAGAGTGAAGATGCTCTATAACCAGCAGAAGAATGCATTTCATGACTAAAAAATGCATTTTCATGAATAAAAAGCTTTGGAAGCAATACACTGAAAGAACTACATAAAACAGATGAAAGGATAACAAGTGCACTCAAGGAAGAAACATTTGAAGATAAACATACAATGTTAGAAAGAAAAGTGGCAACTGCATTCAGATTACCAGGGAGAAATAAATCACTAGGAACAGATGGCATACCAATACACCTGCTTAAAACTACAGAGTCAAATTTTACTCTAATTCTAACTAAATGTGTCAACAAATTTGGAAAACGAAATCATAACCCGTAAATTGGAAATTTTCAATATACATTCCACTCTCCAAGAAAGGTAACACCAGGGACCGTAGTAAGCAGAGGGCCATACTGCAAACAGACATTGGATGAGTATACTAAAGCATTTCAAAAGAAAACATCCTGTGCTTTATAGATTATACTATGTAACACGATTTTTGTTCCTGGATTATAAATGCCATTTCCTAATTGGTCCTATCATAAACATGTTTTTAAAATTGCAAAATCTTTGTTTTTGTGGGACATCATGCAGCACATTTTGCTATAGTTTTTCAATGAATATCTCACTGAGTCTCAACCAATTCAACATAGTTTGTGGCAGCCACAAAAACCAAGTTTCTAGAGTATAACAACTACTTTCAAAGTACTGTAAGTATCGCACAATTAATCAGGAATACAAATTTCAAACCAGGAATATTATTTTTCAAATTTTGTTATATTGTGTTACAGAACCTTTGATTTTGTACAGCATGAAAAAAATTGATTGGGGTTAAATAAATGAGTGTGACACATGTGAAGCCCCCGATGCTTAACTTGCATTTACGACAAGAGACTACAGGAAAGATTCAATATGGAGAAAGGGAATGCTTTCTAACTGGAATGGCAGTCTGGCAAGGCTGCATTTTACCACCAATTCTGTTTAACTTCTATGCTGAACATATCATATGTAAAGCAGGATTAGACTTGGAAGGAAGGAGGAAAAGTGAAAATTGAAGGAAGGAACAATATGTGATGATTGCAGAACCTTTATAGCAGTTAAATTCACCCACAAGGAAATCTTGGAAATGTCTTTAATGCTAGGTTACTACTATACAACAAAGTTACGAATGAAGAAAACATGGGCAACTTCTCACTTTCAATCTCCCAAAAAACCAACCCCCTGAGCACCCGAAAGTTCCTCCCTCCAGCCTCCAAGTCCTCCAGTCTGTGTTATCAGGCTCCTTCCTGCTCAGGGCCCCAGATGTTTTCATTCCTCAACCTTGGCCATGAAACTCAAGGCATGTCTTGATCACACCAGTTACAGATCCATGACACAACAATTCAAGATATTAAGATGATCCCATATTAATAGGAGAAAAGAGCAAAGACTTGGAATGATTAGAGAAGAAAGTGAAGTAAGAAAGTGAAAAGGCAGGTTCTACAGTTGAACATCAAAAAAAGCCAACTAATAATGACCAAGGAAGAATTACATAACTTTAAAGTAGACAATGAAGAAATTAAAATAGTTCAATATTTACCATATTTTAGCCTAATCATTAATTAGAATGGAGACTGTACTCAAGAAATCAGAAAAAAAGATCAGGGGCACATCTACATTGATCACTTAAGTTGGTGTGATCTGAGATCAGCCAAGTGGTAAGGATAGTCTCCTTAAGCAACTTAATAAGTTCTACTCTAGGTTTAAATACAGTTTCTAGTTAAGAAACTCCTTAAATCTCTTCTGTCCAAGATATGTAGCTACCTGGAGTTACAGTAAAAGTAAATGGTCTTGAAAAATCAAGATTATCAAGAAATAGGATTAGGCAACAGGGGGGCTATAGCCCTCAGTAATGGTGATCTGTTGTTTGTGACTTTTAGCTATTTCAGAATTTGTCCACTGACACCTCCCCCTCCATTTCATCCATTTGTTATTTCAACCCCCCCCCCCCCCAATTTAAAGTAGCCTGACTTTAATTTTTGGAAAAATACACTTCTGAGCCTTAGTCTTATGAAGCTGCTGAAAGATATGATGGCAACAAGCGCTTCCGTTGAAAATACCACAATTTAAGACACCAAAAATCTATGATCTCTAAACCCACATCCTGAATTATGAAAGACAAAAACCAAGGCTGTTTGGGGGGGGGGGGGTTGCACTAAAATCAAGTTCTTCCAGAATTATTCCTACAAAGACTATGTACAATATATGTGACAGAAGTAAATTGGTTCTTTGTTCTACACATACAAATTATGGTATGTTGGTTTATTTGGTAATGAGAAAACACTCAACAATATACACGTATCTATACAGCCCCAATCCTGACCTACACAATATGTAACTGTTATAAGCAAGATAGTATCCACAGAAAATATTTCTAAAACATTGTATTTTATATGTGCATTATTTCAAAATAATGTTATTTTAAAATTCATTCCTGAATTTTTCTTCAATAATATTATTTAATAATAATTTTGTTTTTTACCCATTTCTCCTATGGGAATAATTAAAACCCATGAACGTTGTAGAAATACCACAAATACACATATTAAAATGTATTTCTATAAAATACATATTAAAATACACAAAACAGAGATTAAACAAAGGACACAAGTAAATATTTGAATATAATAGTTTCATATTAAACAGGCAAGTTCTAAAGAAGAGTGCATTAAAAATCACACTGCAAATAATGTAAGTGCTTTTGTACCAGATTTAAACTTGATTTCTTCCAAAATACGGAATATGGAAGAATTATAACAACGCAAAATACCTCAAAATACTTACAACGTACTGAGGAAATAATTTCCTAGACAATGGTAACTCTGGACCGTGATACATGCCAAGTGTTAAGTGACAAGTCACGACATCCCTTGGCAACCAGAAGTGGGTAGCCAGATTGGCTGTGGCTTTCGAGGACCTAAAGCCGAGGTTTTTTTTTAATACTGTGGTTATGCCAAACACAGTATCACCCCCTTATCCATGGATTTGCTATCAATAATTTTCACTTCGCCAAGGTCCAAAGAAAAATTGCTCTGTGGGCTTATCTAGGTCCTTCAGTGTGATTCTATGGCCCAAGTATTGCCAAAATACACAACTCACTATTATCCAAGGTTTGGCCGCGGGGGGGGGGGGGGGGGGGCTTGAAAATTTAAGGATATTTCTATCCCTCTTTCCTCAAACACAACATACAAACTATCTACAGACCCACCAAGAAAATCCAACAAACGCTACATTCAGCAAAGGACAAGAGGGATCCTCTCACTTCTGCAGGAGTCTACTGGATACCATGCAGCTGTGGACAAGTCTACATAGGGACCACCAAACGCAGCGCCCAGACACGAATCAAGGAACATGAAAGGCACTGCAGACTACTTCAACCAGAGAAATCAGCATAGCAGAGCACCTGATGAACCAACC